GAGGCATCTCCTCGTCCCAGCTGATACCGAGACCACTGCGCTCGGTCACGTGTAGGTTGAACTGCATGCGCAGCACACGGGCAGCGCCAGTGGGGGTGATGAGACGGGTGTTGCGGTTAGGGCAGAACTCCTCGGCGACGATCAGCTCGATGACAAGGTTGTGCTTCACTTCCAGGCCGCCGGGGGCCTCCATATCGCAGACAGGGTTGGTGGTGGGGTTGATGCTGGCTTCGAATTGCATGCCAATCTCGCCACCGGCAGTGTCGAAGTCAGTCTTCCAGCCATTCTTCTCCTCGTTGTGGCCGATGATACGAGTCTCTTGGTGCATGACACCCTTGCCCTCACCGCCGACTTTGTGTAGGTGCTTGGCGCATGCGGTCGAGACAATCTTCTGGTGCTCTTCAATGCGCCACATCATCTTGCGGAGTCGCCAGCGGGTCTGGGTTTCGTCACCCTTGTCGACGACACCACTGAGGGTCATCTCAACGGGGAACTTGCCGATTGGGTGCACGACGGAAGGGAGGACGATACGGCCGGTAAGGTTGGTAGGAGGGAAGATGCGGATGGAGGACTTGTCGTTGCCCGGAAGCAGAGCACGACGCACATTGAGAGGCAGCTTGAGGCTGTATTCCTCTCCGGTAATGCTCTTGGCGTGTGCCATGAGGAAGTATTCAATCTGGCCCAGCGAGCCATTGCAGGTGGCGGGACGGTGTCCGGGGAAGAGGTAGCTGAACGGGAAGTCGTGGTCTCCGCCAGCGAGGTGAAGATCCTCAGTGATAAAGTTCCAGCTGTTGAGTTCCTCCGTCTTGGATGTGCAGTTGGCACAGTGTCCGGACACAGGTTTCTTGGTGATAGTGTTGCAAACAAGGCGGACATCGAACTGGGTGAGGGTCACTCCGGCGGTCATCTTTGGGACTGCAATGCGCAAGCGGCCAGAGAACAATGCGCCGGTTGAGTTCGTAGGAGGACCATAGCAGACCAGTGGCGGCGACTCAATAAGGACATCAAGCTTTGCTGCCGGCGGGGTCTGCTCATGACTGGAGCGCTCCTTGGATCGTCCGGCGCGTCCCAGGCTGCGGCGCTTTTCCTTGCTCGAGTCTCGGTGGGGGTGAATCAAGTGGTCCATGGAGAAGGAGAGACGGCGTTCGGGAGATCGTGCGCGGTCCGAGTGCGGCTTCTTGACATGTGGGATCTCATTCACAGAGGCGGTAGAGGAGGAATTGGAATGGATAGGTGTAGAAGATACCGAGGAGTGTAGACTCCCGGCAGTCCGGATCAAGTTATCGATCAGTCGGCCCGGCATGGTGAAGGTGAAGTCTGAGAGAAGTAACCATATACAAAATGAAGAAAGGAAAGGGCGCCCCCTCTGCTTTTGAATCGTCCAAATCCGTGGAAAACTAGAAAAATTCAATTTTCTAATTTTTTCAATGTTTCCACTCAGGTACGCAAAAAAAGGAAAAAAGAAAAAAATGGAAGACGTGGGGCATTTCATCGTCATAGTGGAGTCTGACAATACCAATACCCAAACCTTACACTTGGACTCCTTAGAACCTCATGTTTGACCCCTCCAAGGTCCTTGTCGTATACACACATTTCCACTGAAATTTAATTTAGATCATTTTATTTCACAAACACGCAATATAATTCCTCATCCCTAACTCAGGAATGACACCATCCATGGATATCCGATCCAATGCCGAGACAGCCACCATACACGTACAAGACCTTTGATCGCCTGACTATACCCCACATAGTGTCGGCATCATATTGCGATCACAAAAGGAACCATTCAAGCCCAGACTAGACCACAACAGGGCACTCGATGGGAGCACATGATGGTATGGTGAAGGTCCTTTGGCTCGGGTGCCCCGTGCACCCAGTGACTCACGGGCTTTGTGCCGGCGTCCGGAGTGGTTTGCGATGCTAACTCGGCGCCGTAGTGAAGGTTTACCTGGCCCCCGTGGACATTCTGCTTCGTTAGCATGTGGTCTGTTCGGGCCTGTACCGCGGGGTAGCTACGTGGTTTGCTGTTCTTTCACTATACAGCGGTTGATGCCGCCCTTGGAGAGATCGGTCAGATACTACCCCGGCTTTGATCGTCTTGGACACGGCTTGTTTTCCCGATCAGGTGTTGGACTTGGTGCCACAGTGAATACAGTACCTAGTGTAGGTATTTGTAGATTATCTAATAATAGAACGAAACATGTGTTATTAAGACACTTTGTAGACATCACCATCACGTGGCGTGATGGCGTGGACGAGATGTCCAGACCGGCGAAAATGACAAACATTACCAATACACCAACGTGACCGAGGATCACCGATGCCACCTTTCCGCATCGGGACAATCAAACGCAGGACCCTTCCGGACTGGTTTTGTTCTTTTTTTTCTTTTTTTAACTTTTCTTTTCTCCGGACACACCGCCTTGGCTATACTTCATAGTGATGTTGTGAGCAATGAATAGGGGGTACCCCGCACTGCAGGCTTTGCAGTTTGCGGGGCATCTACAGCAATTGCAGCAATTACACTCACCTACTCTGTAAGTATATAGAATATACAGAATAGACGAAGCAGTAAACAATAGAGATGAATATCAAACGTTCTAGCCCTGCCGCTGTCAAGAAATGCACCGTGCCCCAAACAACGAATCACCATCGCCCCATCCACACTAATTACCTAACAACAACCAAGCCCTCCAACAGCTTCACGTATAACATCCCGCACAGGGCCAGGTACACAGCTGCACCTGCAATACGTTTCGTGCAGGGGATAGCTCGAGCAGAAATGCGGGTTTGGGCTCCCGTACCCGGCCCGTGGCCTAGCTGTCTGGTATGATGTGCCCCGATGTTCACAGCATGTAAGGTATTTCCACCCGGAGCTGACTCCTTGCGGTGAGACCCTTGGATCTTTGATCACGCCATGCCTGTAATAGGGCGTGCTTGGGGGCATGTGGTGATGCCATTCGGCTTTGTTCTTGCTGTCCCGGTCAGTGCTTTTGATGTGCGTCGGGATTTACGAGGGTCGGTCGATCTTTCCTTGTACGTAGATGTGTACATGTATCTGATGTTAACTTTCGCTTTTACTTTTATTGCATGTGTAGGTGTATTGTAGGATATTGACTCGATCTAGGTATTGATCTGTAGGGCTATAGATTAGTTCACTTGGTTATAGGGAGCATGTCCATGCCAGCAATACAGCACAATATATTCCTTCTCCGCGGACCTACTAGAAGAGGCATACCACTGTCGAAGCTAAGCTCAGATTAATACCAGAAGCCCACGATCGAGAATCACTGGCTCTCATGGCTCGGATGGACTAGCCAATTGGTGATGCCGGCTCTCAGGCGAACTTCCTGTTTCGGGGCGATCTCGGCTTACCCCTCCGATCCCTTTCAGCCGGTTTATCCTTCTGATTCTGACTCAATTTTGATGTATGGGGGATTTCCCCGTAAACTAGGAATTTTAGAAGAAACGCCATTTTGTCATGGTACATGTATACATGTACTTCCAAGACTTCCAAGTCTCCCAAGGTACTTTATTTTATCCATGGTGCTCTATCACCACCACATCACCTTGGCGGACACATGCTACATTAGGAGGTATTCTAGACGACACATCCATTACTCAATTGCGCCATTTTCAACACCCCCGTTACTGCACTAACCCAAAACTAAAACCAAACTAGACATAAATCTACACGGAAAACAAGCGGAAAACCGAGTAGTCTCCGCTCAGCAGAAATTTTCTGTCGGCACCCACTCGGAACTTTATACTCGGCCCGTCGCAACGTGATCTGAAAATCACCACTCACGGTCCATTCGACTGAGTCACGTCCCTGGTTCTGTTTCTCCCCTGGATCCATTCCTTCCTTTAAGGTGTTAGAGTGGAATCCTGATGGAAATGTGGAGGGGTGTGCCTGTGTGATAGGACCGGAGCCGTGGTTAAGCGCTTAGGAGGCGCTGTCGGAGGCCGCCGTGAGTCCCTTGGGGCAATTGTTCCTGATGATTGTGGCTTGGCGGTTTTGCTTTGGGAACATCTACCCGGTCTGTTAGCCGGTCTGTCTTGCGGTGTATTTTTGGAGGTTTGGGGTAGATTGATCTGCAGTGTCAGGATTTTCAGGAGGCAAGATACATGCATGTATATTGGGCAGATCGTATGGTCGGGCATTATAGTCAGACACGTAATGGAATATTCGATCTGGCATCTCAGCCTTACAATATTAAGTTCAAGCCTTCAGGCTTTTTGTTGCCCAGTCTTATCAGATCTTAGCCAGTGGAGACCAATGGCGGTACGAGTACAGTATGATAGAAAAAGATGCCCTCACTTGCCGATTTGACTGAAAAATTCCACAGTACCTGACGCTATTGCAATGCATTCAACTCTGATGATCTGGACTTTGGGGGCTCAACTAACCGCAAACGGATATCTTCCAGAAGCATCAACATTGCCACAAGCTTAAGACGTAACGGTCAACTTGTACTTACAAATATAGGTCTTGAATTCATAATGTTAACGTGAGTTATCCAAATGTTGCTGACAACTTGAGAATGCTCGATATGATCACCCCCTGACACGTGACCCCACTCCGGGGGATCGTCAAGAGAATCACTCGAGCTTCCCCTTTTCCGGACAGCTTAAGCCACCGTGTTCTTTTTTTATTGGTGTGGTTTCTAGCCCCGACATCACTATCATGGGTTTGAGCTTTTTGCTTCCTTCCCAGAAGTAATTGACCTGTCTCCTGAAGCTCCCGACCAAACACCCAAGTGGGATGCTGGATGCGCATTCCCCACCATGCCCAGAGCTTGAGCTTTACCTACGATAAACTCCGATAACATTTCCTACCACAACTGCATAGCGGGCGAACTGCGTTGTCCCAATCCCAGAATTTCCCCGGACTCAACTGCGACCTCTGACATCAATTCTATCCCCTCACCGAGGAAAAAGCACAGCTCTCAGCTAAACAACAAACCAACATCAACACCACACCCCCCCCCCCGAAAATGTCCACCTCATTCAACTGGACCGCCCTGGCAGTAGCCATAGCAGCAGTCTTCCTCTTCTGGACCCTCAGCTCAACAACCCCAACATCCCCCTTCACACGCTCCTTCCCGCGTCTCTCCAACAAAAGAATCTGCCTCCTAATCGCCCACCCCGACGACGAAGCAATGTTCTTCGCCCCAACAGTCCTAGCCCTCACAAAACCAGAGCTAGGAAACCACCTCAAAATCCTCTGTCTAAGCACCGGCGACGCAGACGGGCTCGGCGAAACGCGCAAAAAAGAACTCCAGAAATCAGCGCTGGAACTCGGGCTCCGCTCTGAATCCGACGTCTTCATCGTGGATGATTTGGCACGGTTCCCCGATGGCATGGATAAGAATTGGGATGTGGGGGATGTTGCTTCGTTGCTTGCTTCGGCGTTTGCGCCGGATATGGCTGCTAGCCAGAAAGCTAAGGCGAGTGGGAAGAAGAGTGCTGGGAGTGAAAAAGCGCCTACGGCGACTATCGATGTCATCCTCACTTTCGATCAACATGGCATAAGCAACCACCCCAACCACCGCTCTCTCTACCACGGCGCAGTGAATTTCCTGCGTACGCTCATGAAAGATAAAGCTGGGTTCACGTGTCCCGTGACATTATACACGTTGACGACGACGAGTATCTTCCGCAAATATGTGGGGATTCTTGATGCGCCATTGTCCATGTTGCTGGGTGCGTGGAGTAATCTGCTGGCTAGCATGTCCGGGTCGAAGGCGAAGGATACGGCTGCATCGGGGGTTGGGCCTGTGCGGTTGTTGTTTGTTAGTTCAATTGGTGATTGGATTGTTGCACAATCCGCTATGGTGAAGTGTCATCAGAGTCAGATGGTTTGGTTTCGCTGGGGGTGGATTACTATTGGGCGGTATATGACTGTTAATGATCTTAAGCGGGAGAGGGTTTAGGAAAAAGGGGATTTGGTTTCTCTTTTTGGCCCTTTGTTCTTGTTTTTGGTTTGTTTGTGTATCATTAGGGTTTAGTGACAGTGCTTGGCGTTGATGTTTCACGCTTCATGTCTGTATATGGTATTATAGGCCTATGTGGCTTCTTGTATATTTGTTTCAATGTTCTACTTTGCTATATATACTGACGGGGTAAGAGGCGGTGTATTTTCATTTCATCACTACGTACAAATAATGAGTAAAGAACATAGAACCGCTCATGGAATTGTAGAATTGTGACAAGGGATATCTTCAACACATAGCATAACATGAAAAACACAACGCATCTAATATGAAAAGAGCCCCTACTGAAGCCAATGATTGCTATCCCGCCAAAAGGCAGTCCTTTGGAGCTTCATCCCGAGCCCGTGCGCTTGAAGACGAGCATAAAACCCACCTGTAGGGTTATTCCCTTTAGACACTGGGTGATCCGGGTGGATTTCAACCCGAACAGCCATCTTTCTCAGCTTAGCCTTCAGCTCCTGGCTCAACGGCACCTGGAAAGAATACAGACGATCAATCGGCGACACTGACGGATCCAGCTGAGGCCACTGTTTAAGCAGATTGTCCCACATGGTGTTATCATCCAGAATCTTTTCTTCAACCGAGGTGAAGATCTCCGCACGATCTGGTAGGCGGCGTGCATGGATGAGGCCATGCATGTCTATGTTTCGGCCTTTGGCGCGTGTCTCAGCTTCGAAATAAAAGATGCTGGTCTCGCCATATTTGCACTTTGCATTCTCCGGGAGAAAGTCTCTCCATTCTTCTTGGAATTTCGGACGTTCCTTTCGTTCCCAAGTATCGATTGAGAAGTCGTCCCATTTTTCCGCGATTGATATTGTGTTCACCATACGTTTGAGCTGGTCGAGTTGCTGGTAGACTTCGAGTCTGAGAATATCGTAGACGTGAATTGCTTCGGCAAGAAGAGGACACTGGAATAGCGATGGATCGGGCTGGGTATCGCAATACTCCTTTCCTGCCTTTTGTCTCATGTTATCCAGGATTGGCTGTAGGCATTGCAGGACCATGTCTCTGGCCTCTTTCCGTTTTGCGCGGGTCTTGCTGAAGACATCATATGCCTGCCGGAGTTGGAATTGGCACTTCTCAAAGTTGCCCAGGATTTGGCTCGTTGAGGTTAACATTCGGTATGCCTTAACAGTCGGTGGGACGTTGTAGGGCTCTGCTGTCATGGTTTCGAACACTTGGTACACCATCTCTTTGGGCACCCTTCCCCACAGCTCCACCTCTGCCTGTTTGCCCTTGTGGGTCTTGGAAAGGATAAATGTTCTCTCTAGCAATTCGTACCAAACTTCATGGGATATGGGAATGTCGTACGATGACGATAAGAAGTCAATTGTCCGTATGGCAGCGTGAATGTCGGAAGTCGTTCCAAAGGCATGGGCCACAGCGAAAAGAAGACGGTCTGTTGGGTATAACCCGGACCAGGTATCGTATTGAGCGACTGGTGGTAACTTCGAATTATCCTTCTCACGCATGATGGCTTCGACATCCACGTTCCACACAGTTTGAAGGACGTTACAGACGGCATCTCTGTCGCCAACTCGGGCCGCGGCGATGATGATGTTGATGTAGGTCTGCTCGTCGCCATTGAGCCCCATCTGAGTCATGTCACTGAATATGTTCATGATAACTTTTCTAACACTATGCTCTGCCGTGCCATATCCACGCCAGGCAGCATTCGGTTGGTTCATGCGCCTCTTCCTGTAGCTGTCGGGAGTCGTCTGAAGATTGTATGCCTCTTTTCCCAGATAGCAGTGGTCCCAGATGGTTGCGCCCATGTAATGATTGAAGCACGCCGTATCTGGGACGACTTGGTGGTCGTACATCGCGTCCCATATTTCATCAGCCAGGGGAGCATTTCCCATGACTCGTGCGCAGTTCAGCAAGTGTGTGTATTCCGCTAGTTGAGGTGGATACCCACCCGCAACTCTATAATGTATGATCTTGATCAAGTCTTTCACAAAATCATCGAAGATCCCTTCGACAGATTTCAGTCCTTGCTTTAGCACCCCCCACCAGTGTAGTGGATGGTGAAGATCCCGATATGGTTTCACGAAGTGGTCGGGAGAGAGTAATTGTAAGGTTGCGAGGAATGTGGTCTGCGGCATCGACCCAACCAGCCCCACCGACCGTGGGTCAGTCATCGCCTTGAGTATTTGGTTCGGTTGCTGATTTTCGATGATTTGGTGGAAGTTGGCTGTATACTCTGATTCTTCCGTTGCAGAGTTCCATATTGGTAGAGTTATTGGGGACTCTTCTTCCGGGCGTGGTACGGCGAGTTCGCTGCTCCAAAGCTGAGACGTTGTAGTCAATTCTCGGATCGGGTTGTGTTTGTCCCGTTGCTTTCGCTGAGAATGAATAATTGATGGTCTGGTTCTTGGGGCTGTCGCGACACAGGATAATCGCCTGGTTTGACCGACTGGACTGTGTGCGAGAAATTGGCTGAGTTTGACCCTCTCGCCTCCAGTTCTAGGCCGAGACGAGACGCCCCAGTGAGAAGAGAACCTCTCACCAGATAGGAAAATTCTCCGCATCTGTAAAACAATCCCAGTGAAGGACCTGAGTCTGATGGCAGTCTTCAAGGTGTAGATAAAGAGGGAAATTAGGAGTGGCCAGATGAGGGGAAGGCGCTACGACCCCGGATCTTTGGGGGGACCGTGGTACTTTCTGCAGGTCGTGCTTCAGCCTAATCAAACCCCTGTCCATTTGTTAGAGAGCATATTCAAACCCTAATCTGACTACTCTTTACATCAATTTAAGACTGTACAGTGCCTAAATAGCTGATCTACAACACCTTCAACACATTCCTACCAACTGACGGTTCAGTGGATCCGAGTGGATACATCCCGAAAACCCGGGGTAAATGATGACTAATTTACTGACTCAGCATTTGGCTTGGCACCATTCACGCTAAACCAGATCAGGTATCAGCCAAAGCTCGTCGATTCTGCGTGTGTGGACCTGCTCCTACTCCAATTCAATACCCCTACAATTCGTCATGGCCGACACCGAAGATGCTGGCGCATCCGTTCCGGAGCCCTTGGATCTTGTTCGTCTTTCCCTTGATGAGGTCGTTTTTGTGAAGCTGCGCGGTGACCGTGAACTCAAGGGCCGCCTCCACGTAAGCTCTTCCCCCCAAAGCGGTCTCCTCGGGATGACGCTAACCATGATCTGTGTGTCTAGGCCTACGACAGCCACTGCAACTTGGTCCTCGGAGATGTGGAAGAGACAATCTACGTGGTAGAAGAGGACGATAACGAGGAGGAGACTGTGCGGGTAGGGACATGTGGTTTCGGGCATTTGTACAGAGACGACGGGCTAATCTGGTATTCCCGACACAGACGATTAAAAAGCAAGAAGAGATGTTGTTCGTGCGAGGTGAGTTGGAATACTGGACTGGTGAGTGTGGAACGGTTGCTGATCCCTATCTAGGAGACTCCGTCGTCTTGATCTCCCCCAGGCATGAGCGACTCTTGAATTGATAGAACGGGCGTCCGGCGACTGGGCATGCTAGGAGGAAGAACCTGAGATACCACAAAAGGCATAGATAACGATACCATGGAAATTGGTTTATGATCATCGACTCTCCGGCGTAGACGAGAGATGTACAGGCTGTGCCCTGTAGCCTTGAGCCTGGGCCACGAGATTGAGTCTTAAACAGCCCCTAAATGTTAGTAAAAGTATTCCATATGATTCACTGTTCTTCCTAGACCCATCAGAGCTATAGTCTGTGGCGCAGTGCGGCTCTTAGGGATGACTCAATCAGTGACTCGACTTATCGATAAAGCTCTCCCAGTTCCCACGTCTGGACCCTTAACTTTTTTAACATTCTCAATCTCTCTACGCCTACATCTTCTGTGAACAGAAGATAATAATGATTACTCGAATACAAGCTTCATCCCAACATTAACTAACGGAGATTGAGTCCACCGACCAATAACGTCACCACCCCGAAGAGGCGGAACATAGTCAACACATTTACCCTTATCAACACCCCACCTGCCTACGATGGCGCCCAAATTGAACCACGAGGAGCGAAGGCGAGGCGAGGTCGTATGTATACAATCAGTCTAATGCATTTACCCCTATCTGACTTGGCCATCCCTCCAGGCGCTCAGTGAATTCGCCGAGTATGCCGAAAAGCAACAGGCTCACCGCTCTGTCGTGCCACCCAGCGATAGCGGATATTCCACAGCGAGCGTGTCGCACGATCTCGAAGACCACGCGGAACTCGATATCCTCGATCAGCTCGAGCTGTCCGATGCCCCCGCACGGCGAAACTAAAGGAGCTACTCCTGGGAACAGGCGATGCTATCGAAGACAACCTGCAGGTGCTAGCTGGCACAATACAATCTCGAATCGATGAAGGCCATGGAGAGACCATCTTCGACCTCGGCCTGGAGGATGGAGGTGACTCGATGGGCTTCGACCTAGCCCAATGGCAGACGGCGCTGCAGCGCCTGCGCGAGGCGGCCGAGACTATCCCCGCTCACTGTCGGGTATTACTTACCCACAATGTCGGCGGCCCGGAGGAGTCGCCCGTGAATACATCCCGAATACAAGGTGCCTGGGGTAAGGTTCTAGTGCGCCACCATCCCGATACCATTGAGGAGATGGCGGAGCTCCGGGTCGCCGTGGTGGGGAATGTAGATGCGGGGAAGAGTACGATGCTAGGAGTCCTGGTGAAGGGTGGCCTTGATGATGGCCGCGGTCGTGCGCGAGTGAACCTTTTCCGTCATAAGCATGAAATTGAGAGTGGCCGGACCAGCTCTGTGGGCATGGAGATCATGGGCTTCGACAGCCATGGAGACATTGTCAGTAACTCGCAAGGCCGAAAGCTCTCTTGGGAGGATATCGGGAAGCGATCTGCCAAAGTCATCTCCTTCTCTGACCTGGCAGGCCACGAACGGTACCTTCGAACGACCGTCTTCGGCATGCTGAGCAGCAGCCCCAACTACTGTCTGCTCATGGTCGCAGCCAATAATGGTCTGATCGGAATGAGCAAAGAGCATCTAGGTATCGCATTGGCTTTGAATGTACCTGTCATGGTTATTGTCACCAAAATCGACATTTGCCCGCCCCATATTCTGCAGGAAACCTTGTCCCAGCTGGAAAAGATTCTCAAATCCCCTGGCGCGCACAAAATCCCCATTTTCGTGAAGAACATGGAGGAGAGCATCAACACGGCCACTCAATTCGTCAGCCAGCGCATTTGTCCCATCTTCCAGGTTTCCAATGTCACCGGAGAGAACCTTGACCTAGTCCGAACTTTCCTGAATATCCTGCCTCACCGCGGTCAGTATGACTCTGAGGGGGCCTTCGAGTTCGTCATCAACGACATCTTCTCTGTGCCCTACGCTGGTACAGTAGTCTCAGGCGTTGTCAAGTCTGGTGTCATCCATGTCGGCGATACCGTCATTGTGGGACCTGACTCTCTTGGCCAGTTCACCACTACCACTATCAAGTCCATTGAGCGCAAGCGTATCCAGGTGAATGCTTGTTTCGCCGGTCAGTCCGGGTCTTTCGCCCTGAAGCGTGTCCGCCGAAAGGAAGTGCGCAAGGGCATGGTGGTGCTGAAGAAGCTGGAGAATCCCCCGAAGGTCTACCGCGAATTCGTTGCAGAGGGTAAGTTGCATGGAAAACGCATTGAATAGGATGTGTACTAACAAGAGTTCAGTTCTGATTCTTTCCCACGCAACCACTATCAAACCAAAGTACCAGGCCATGCTGCACGTCGGAGCAGTCAGCCAAACCTGTTCGGTCATCGACATTGACCGCCCTTTCATTCGGACAGGCGATCGCGCCAGGGTTGCCTTCCGATTCATCCAACGGCCGGAATTCTTGGTCCCCGGAGATCGTGTCCTCTTCCGCGAGGGTAAGACTAAGGGCCTAGGAATCGTTAAGAGCATTGGATATGACCCAGCGCATCCATTAAATCCCAATGCTGCCAAGAAGGGGGAGCTACCACTCCTATCCCCCAGACTCCCACGATACCCTCATGATTTACATTTTCTTAGGGAGCTCTTTGTTTTATTCTGCTTTGCTTTATCACTCGATATTTTTATTCCGTGTCTTGCATTAGATGGGACGGGATGTCTTTCCTTCCATTGTTTATTATCTCATGGTTTTCGATGCAAGGATGTATCTAAGTGTCTTTAGCAAGTTGTAAGACGTATTGTACGACTTATTCCAATATCCCAAGGCTTGTTCCATTTGATAGACTATTCGTCGATGCTTTACTAAACATATTTTCGATACTTCACCAATCCTCCAATATACATCGCTCCCTGGCGTCCTCTCCATACGCGCTCTCCAATCTATAGACATCACTAAGTACGCCAAACATGACGAGATAATATCTCTTTAAGTCTTCATAGCCAAATTAGAATAGATATAGCCATCGTAGGTGGATGACTACTATATCTGTTTGGCACACCCAATCAGAGGTCTCAATGGTCTATAGATGATAGGCAGTCCATGACGTCACCCCATGACATAGGCCCAGACTTCCAGCGACTTCATTTCGCCAGTCCAACCTCATTCGCAAATTGTGGTGGAATTAATGCCTAAGCAGGGGTTCCATGTGTAAGCCACCGCCCACTGACGTATCCCCACGGGTGTCAAGTCTCCTTGTTCTTAAAGCTTGCCTGCCCAGTGACTTCACACTTTACACTCAATCACTCAATCCATTCAACTTTCATCAATCGCTCCATTAACACCTGAATCTATCTGCCTAAGGCTTTAACCCTCCTCTTTCACTATACCTACTTCAGCTCCGTATCATCTTCCATTATCACGCCTCACGTCTATCCCGTCCACACTCTACACCACATCACTATCCATCGATATCTGAATTAAACCAAGACAATCAATCATGGAGACCGTCAACAAATACGTCAACGCTGCTTCGACCGCCATCTGGGGCGAGCACGGCTCCTCAAGCACCCAGCAAAATCTCCAACATGGCGAGGAACCCATCTCTGGTGTCCAGGGCAAAGGAGCTGCCACAGACCCCTATGACGCCGGTAACCGCGAGGGTAAGTAATATAAACCTCTGTCTTACCCACCTCAGAACCAACTCAGGAATCCCACGGACGGGAACTATATCCGCACCCCCACTCTCCAATCTATACAACGCCACACCTCGATCTATACAACAGCCATTGAACTAACAAAACCAGAACAACCCGGCGCAGTAAACGCCGACGGCAACACAGTCCCGCAAGAACCAAATCTAGGCGGCAAACAACAGACTTTCGAAGAAGCAGCCGTAACATCAGTTCCAGCCCCCGCCAAATCCACCCTCGACAACAACAACACAACCGGTGTCATCGACCCAAATGCCAGCATCGCCGAACCAATTACTAGCAACAACACCAACACAACTTTGAGCACAGGCACAGGCGTCATCGACCCTGACGCCAGTATCGCCAAGCCACTTACTGGTAACAACACATCCACCGCTGCCACCAGCGCCGAAGCTACACAACCTCTCCCAGGCCTAGGAGCAGGCAGTTCCTCTGAGCCCAGCAATAGTACCGACAACACCACACCTACCAAGGAGCAGCGCAGTGCCTCTGAAACTCAGCAGGGTGGTAGCAGTAACAGTACCGGCAACGCTGTCGCCTCGGAATCTGCACCCAAGGGTAACTCCCACTCTCACGCGAGCGAGGAGGCTCTCAGGGGTCCACAGGGCCCGGCACCTAAGTCTGCTGAGGAGTTCATGAAAGAAACTAAGAGGAAGGGGTCCGTAGTTAAGGAGATGGACAATACGAAGAAGAGTATGTATCCCTCTTCTATATCCCCCGCCCACGCTCTACCTGGCAAGATTAAACCTATATTGAATATACTGACGCTGAGGCCTGAATAGGAACCTCAAGTGACTCCAAGCATAGCAACAAGTCCGAACATTCTTCCCAGGATAGCGGGAAGAGTAACGGGAAGAACGGTGCCATGTCGAAGATGAAAGAGGAGATTAAGAAGCATCTCCACCATTCAAGCAAATAGGTGTATCATTGTTGTTTTCGGTACTATCGAAAAGCAGCTGTGCCTTTGTCCTTGCTTTGATTTTGGGGGGATACATATGTTCACCCTGTGTAGGATAATTTTCTTTGGGAATTTTAGTTGGACTTTTTCGGCTGTTTGATATCACTTGCGGGTGTGTTTCTTTGGCTTGTTTTATCATTATCCAATCACGTTTTCTTCTTCTGTACTCGTCTACTTCGTATATATGAATTGGATATTGCTAATGGGAGAACCGGGTTTTTGATATCCATAAGAAGCGTCTCAAGCACCTTCAGCTGAATAGTAGGAGTAAATGGTGGCTATATTGCAAGTATATGTGGTTATTCTGATAGTTCAATGATAGATTTTATGATCAGCTAGAATGGTCCAGCCATTCACTCTAGGAGTCAAATATAGAGATCGGTTAAGGCTGACGGTCTTTGCACTCTACCTAAAATGTCACAAACTGAACATGTTAAGTAGATATTGCACTTTGACTGGATAACCGACTGCATTGTCGTTTTCGAAGAAGGTTAGAATTATGAGGGTCCCTTGAAGGTTAGAGACTCAGCCTTTCGGACCGTAACCGAGAGCAATTGTTCAGATTTGAGTGTAATTAAGGTAATGTGGTTCATTTGGTACTGGAACCTTGGAAAAGCTTGCTCCTCGCTCGGCCGATACTTGAGTGGGCTCCGTATATAACCGTAGCCTACCGAGTGCGAACGTCTTCGGCGACAATAAGTTTCACCGACCGGTGATCAGCCGAATGTAAATAGGGTTTACAAGTATGCTGGATCAACAACTTCATCTGCAGCTTTTTGAAAAGCATTAGTATGGGCTTTCGTAATAATTCATTAAATGCGCTGTGATCGCCCCGTGCCTAACCGCTTGCTCCATCGGACTACACCATTCCCCCAAAGACAAAAATCTAGATTTTTCCTACATTTTGGAGGATATCATAGCTGGTTGTGTGTACCTGCAGTGGCCACTATGTAGACATGGAAACGAAAGTCAGGTGCTTACGGTACCTGGACAGCCAGGTAAACGTTTAGCATGGGAGGTTATTTCCCCGATTTTCCCGAAAAATGAGGTTTGTTTGAATTGAACCCACTCTTCCCCAAATCGTCATAGGAGACCTCTGCAACAAAATTCTGCTTTCTTCGGTCATTTTCGGAGGCTTTGTCCGTCATCAAGTGGATATATAGCGACCTGGACGCTTTTCTCTTGTTGCCCAACGAGCAAATCGCCCACAAACCGTTACTCATCCTCTCTTCATCTTCATTCCCCACGACTACAAGCAATTGGGACACTCTCTCCAGCGTGGTTGTTACATCATGGGCACCCAACCGTCGGATATCCCCAATGGCAAGATCACCGACAATTCAACCGATCATGGTGGTGATATAATGGGCGAAATGAGCGACAGGGAGCGGAATCTCTACGATGAAGGAATGAAAAAGTTCTCGCGTCTGGGCTGGAAGCGATTGACAGTGGTCCTGATTGTGGAAGCCATTGCACTAGGCACACTGTCTATCCCCTCCTCCTTCGCCACATTAGGGATGGTTGCTGGCATCATATGCACCGTTGGAATTGGCCTTGTTGCCATTTACACAAGCTACGTGATCGGTCAGGTCAAACTTGCATATCCGGAGATTACCAACTACGCTGATGCCGGCCGCCTGATGGGGGGACGGGTTGGTTATGAAATAGTGAGTGTGATGCTCGGTCTTCAACTCACCTTTCTTACGGCTTCGCATTGCTTGACTGGCACAATTGCCCTGCAAGTGGTCACCCAGAGTACGATATGCGCTGTCGTGTTTGGAGTGGTATGTGCTGTCATTTTACTCGCATTAGCTGTCCCACCTAGCTTCACCGAGATGGCGATATTAGGCTATATCGATTTTGGCTCTATCATTATAGCGATCGGAATCACTATTATCGCTGCCGGTATCGAGAACAACAACACCGCCACCACCGCCGTACAAAGCGCGGCTTGGTCAGCGTGGCCACCAAAGGGTACGAGTTTCACAGACGCATTTATCGCCGTTTCGAATATCATCTTCGCCTACAGCTTTGCAATTTGCCAATTCTCGTTTATGGACGAAATGCACACTCCGAAGGACTATGTCAAATCGATCTGGGCTTTGGGTATCACGGAGATCGTGATTTATACCGTGAGCAGTGCGTTGATTTACTCCTTCATCGGTGCGGAAGTCAAAGGTCCTGCTATGCTTTCTATCAATGAAACCGTAAGCCGGATTGCATTTGGAGTGGCACTGCCTGTCATCTTCATCAGCGGCTCTATCAATACCGTTGTTGCTGGGCGGTTGATACATGGTAGAATCTTTAAGAACTCTACTATACGCTTCATTAACAGCGCCGCCGGGTGGGCAACCTGGTTAGGAATTATCACAGTAATCACGATTATTGCTTTTGTGATTGCTGAGGTAATTCCTTTCTTCGAAGATCTACTTTCCCTGATCTCCGCCCTTTTTATTTCTGGCTTCACATTCTACATCCCAGCTTTGATGTGGCTTATCTTGATCCGGAAAGGGAGCTGGACTTCACCCCGTAACTTGGCACTGGGAGCTCTCAACCTAGCAGTCCTGGTGATAGGCTTGGTAATCCTGGCGGGTGGAACGTATGCCAGTATTCAAGATATTGTATGTTGCTGTTGATACCTCCTTGGTCCGAGTTTTGTCTTCCATGCTGATGTTTTCTTACTAGCTTGACAATTATAAAAAGGGGACAGTCGGAAGCGCCTTTTCCTGTGGAAAACAATATTAAGTGGCAGAATATACTGCAATGTTGACAGAAACGGCCAGTGATACCATTTTACTGTTTCCGTTGATTTTACATCTTACTGTCAATTTGGCGTGGTTCTTTAACATATCTTGCTGAATGGCCTGGATTATGCCATGTACGAATCTATACTCAGGAAATTGAACCACTTTTCGTCGTGTACCCTAACGCATTTCTCAAATATCTATGGAAGTTCTCATCTACTCGTCCGCCAATTAAAGGTCAACAGCAGCGTGGACATGAGCAATGCTGGTATCAATGGACGGAACTTCGCTACTTTCCTGACTAACTAGAATTCCAAATTTTGTACAGCCAAGAATGACCGCTTCAGTGATGCGGAAGCTTGAGGATGTAACCCAAAATCAAGGGACAGATGAGGTGGATATTCCCACACCAGCCGGTAAACGTATCGTTCATTGCCTTGGCATAAGAGTATCGAACTCACTGGGCTCAAAAAATCGATGCGAATGCCGCCTTCGACCTTGATCTCCTCCACGATCCTGAAGTTGAGCCTTCGGAGTCTTTCTCCAACACCACTGACGACGTCCTTTTGGTCGATGGTTTTCTCTTTGATATGTTCGACGGGTGAATAAAAAGAACCCATGAAGAAGGAAATCGCTCTTCTCGGTAGGTCGTGCTGGACCTTCATTTATCTGCATTTCAAGGGACCTACCAGCCTATATAGAACTTCGACCTCGGAGCCCACGAGCCCTAAAGTCCAGGGCCCCGGGACCGGTGGTGTCCAGTCACCATGGTTTTTCACCGCAGTGCCGAGTGAGGGGCCTCTAGAGCCCCCTACGGCTTCAGGCTCGGCGGTCTTGCTATGTTGCCGAGCCCTCGGTCATCGAAGTCCGCAGAGGACCTTTTTTCCTCTCTCTTAAGATGGATCAACTTTCCCCTAGCAAAAAAGAGTGTAACCGCTTCTCTCTGTGTCTCTCACCTCCTTTTGGTATAGGGCCTCATGGTCAACCCTTCGTTATTCACTCAGGGAATGGAGCGTCAGCTCGAAAAAGGACCACAGTCTCTGCCAATAAACCAAGAAATTCAGCATATTGACGTGGCTCGTGACTGGAGCGGACCAGACGATCCAGAAAATCCTCGGAATTTCTCGTTGTGCATGCGTCTTTTCGGCACCGTTACTGTGACTTCACTGGCCTTCGTGGTGGCCTTCGCAGGGGGAATATACGCTCCAGCTCAAAGTGAGTTGATTAAATCATGGGGCTGCAACGACGAGACCGGCGTATTGCCTCTTTCTCTCTACAACCTGGGACTTTCGTTAGGTCCCATTATAGGAGCTCCGCTCTCTGAAAAATACGGCCGAAAGGCTGTCTACATCATCACTACTCCTATCTTCATTCTCTTCATGACCGGAGCTGGTTTCTCGAACAGCATTAGCAGTTTGATCATTTGTCGGTTTTGTGCTGGTGTTTTTGGGTCACCAAACATCAACAATGCTTCCGCCACAATATTAGACTACACGCCCGACCTCCACCGCGGCGTCGTTCTTGGAATGTATTATTCCATTCCGACCGTCGGTGCCACTTTGGGACCTCTTGTTGGTGGCTTTCTTATTCAGGAACATGGGTGGAGGTGGACACAGTGGGTTCCCATCATCGTTGCCGGTGCACTCTATATCCAGGTGCTATTCACCAAGGAAACCTACAAAGCCGTGATTTTACAACGTCGAGCAATCAGACTGGGACTTATGGACGCCTCGTCTCAGAGGATCAGCGTGCTCAAATCTTTTCGGCACTTCTTTGTCACCCTCATTCAACGCCCAATCCACATGCTTTGCACGGAGCCGATTGTAATGTTCGTCAGCTTGTACAATGGCCTCATCTACGGACTTATATACGCATTTGTGATTTCTGTGCCCTGGGTCTCAAGGACATATTACAATTTTGATAAAACTGGGGAAGCCCTTTCCTACCTCGGTGTTTCACTTGGAAGTCTAATTGCCTGCCTTCCATTTGCAACTGTGGATATCATGTTCTACCAAAAACACCTTCTTTTGTGGAAACGAAGTCACCCGGCAAATGAGAAGATGCCACCGGAACATCGCCTTCTTTCTGCCTTGATAGGCAGTTTCTTACTTCCAGCCTCCTTGCTTATCGCTGGCTGGACAGCCGAGAATCGCATCCATTGGATTGTCCCGATTTCCTTCCAAGGAATGACCGCGCTTGCCTGTCTATTGGTCTATGCGGGCGCTAATCTCTTCATGTTGGATTCTTACGGACCCCTCTACGGTGCCTCAGCCTCTGGCGCCATGATGTTCAGTAGGTACCTGTTGGGCTTTGCCTTTCCAATGTTCACACTGCAAATGTTTGAAAAACTGGGCGCAGGATGGGCAACGTCCATTTTAGCCTTGTTGACGTTCGTCATGGCCCCCATACCCTGGTGCTTTCTTGTGTATGGCCCACGACTGAGGGCGGCGAGCAGATATGAAACAAGTGCTTGATGTATCCTAAATTCCCCTGGAAGCACCAGGAAAATCACAAGTTCAATGAACTTGATAAACGAGTGGCTTTGTGGCTTGTATAATTTCCTATTGGAATTCGGATTGTACCATCTTCCCACCTACATATTCGGTCGGTATCTATATGAAGTAAACGTCCTCGTCCCACATACACGATCAGTGATATGTATGGGAGGGATAAGTATCTTTAATCGACGAAGGAACGACCCTTTGGTGCCTTTTAGCTGTGGTAATTGAAATCCTGGTGTAATTTTGAGTGGAGAAATGCTGGTATCATCATAATACTGCTTTCAGTGTGTCTCAGCGTAGCATCCCAAGAAGTAGAAATGGATCCCTCCAGGCCCTTGCACGTATCCAAACAGAAAGCCATGCTCCTTTGTCTAATCAACCAGCAAAGTTTGCGCCGCATTTCTCCCATTTGCTAAAGTGGCAATGACCACAACAAGCAAATAATCCTTAGGAACTCTCGTTAACGTCGGAAAACGCGCGAGTATCTTGGGTCGACACAACAGTTTTTCCCATTTCCATTCACTCTCCGCAAGCGAGACAGTTACAGATTCCTCACCATTGACAAAAACTTGAACAGATGAAACGGGAACATCAGAGTCACTCGAATATACGGTTCCGCTCACTGAGACCTGACGACGGATCTCCTCTTCGAGATTCTCCGGTTCTTCCCATGTGGCTGATCGAATATTGAGAATCGGTTTGGCCTTGATCGAGCCTTTGGCGGAGGGAGAGAGCAGCGGTATATGGTCCGATGGTATCGACGGAGTCAACCTGGGGGATGTGCGAGCTCGAGATGCTGTCTCATACGCATAGGCATATCGCAACATATCATTATCTTTCCAAGCTTTGCATACGAATGTCAAACCCACAGGCATCTCCTTTTCTTTAATGATGCCCATTGGAACTGTAATGCAAGGGATCCCAACATGCTTAAGAGCCCGACCGCCATTGGCGTACTTGATGCCATCTTGTAAAGCATGAAGCATCGATTGGAGGTTTTCTTCAGCATCTGCAAGAGGAACATCGCCATTGGTAGGGAACACCATCAAGTCGAAGTCATTGTTATCCATCCAATCTTCGAAATCGCGCTTTCGCATTGCCTCCAAAGCGTTCATGGCTGTCTCAACCTCGGGGAGGGTATAAAGTGTGTGCTGCCTGTTTCTGACAGAGTCAATCATCTCCGGATAGCGGACCTGGTTCTGCGCCTCGGTGTGCTTAGACGGGTCATCCATGGGAGCGATATGAGGATGGATCTTATTTGGGTCACGTTCTGTTAGATTTGGGCACATTTTATCCCCATTCATTCTCAAGAAGTCATCCCACCCGGTGGCAATCATTTGACACCGCTCAGTACTAGTCCATTCCTGCGACATTCCTGGTACATTACAGCTTTGGCCGGGAAAATCCTGCTTCCCATAATTCTCAAGCAGCGGGAAATCTGTTTCGACAACTGTAGCTCCGAGTGACTCCAGCGTGGCTCTGGCTTTCTCCCATAGCTGTTGAACGGCTTCGATGCACACATGGTGTGGCTTGGCATACGGTACACCAATAAAGCATCGTGGAACAGCGATTCTTTTTCCAACAAGTGCATTTGGGTCCTTCAAATCCTGGTAGGTGGCTGGGCGCACTTCTGAAGCTTTTGGAATGGGGACAAACTTTTGATTCCGCCAGAAGTCAACGCCGCGAGCAGCTTCCAAATCATCGGCCACGATAACATCAAGCACAGAAAGTAAATCCTCCATTGATCTTGTGTGAGGAACAATAACGTCACATGTTGGATAAAGCGGCCATTGTCCCCTATTCGGTATCACACCGCGTGAAGGCGAATACCCAACCAGAGCATTACTCGATGCAGGTGAGCGACCTGAAGAGACAGTTTCTCCGGCGAACCCAAAGGCCGCAAAGCTGGCCGCAGTGGAGGTACCACAGCCATTCGAGGAGCCAGACGCATATGCTGTAGTGGAATATAGGAGGTTGTAGGGACTTTCGGCTCTGCCGTAGAGACCGCGCTGGGCGCCTCCATCTGCCATTGGTGGCATGTTCGTTTTTCCAAGTACCACTGCTCCGGCTTGTCGTAGGAGCGAGACAATAGCCGCATCTTCGGAGGAGATCAAGTTGGTAAAGGCTGGTGAACCGGCCGCGACGGTCATACCTTTGACCATGAAGCTATCCTTGACCGTGAATGGGATCCCTTCCAGGGGCCTTGGGGGTTGGCCACTTGCTCTATAATCATCTGATTGTTGGGCTTCCTCGAACGCCCTTGGATTGAGGACACAGACGGAGTTCAGGGACGGTCCTCGGTAATCGTAGATACCAATCCGGTGAAGATAGAGCGAGACGAGCTGAACGCTTGTGATGGCATGAATTTCCAAAGCATGGAGAAGATCTTTTATACTGGCTTTGGCAAGATTCAGAGTCCCGCGTGGTTGTGAGACGTCGGGGCTGGCATCATGTCTAGTTTTGGGTTTAAGAATGAAGATGAGAGGAGGAAGGGTGAAGAGAGTGAGAAGAAGACGCCGAATGCACAGAATAGCAGCCGTTGATGGTCTTTAAGTATCCAAGGTGAACTTTTTTATCTCTATTCCACTGCAGTCTTTAATTCTATACTCTGCATACTCTGTACTGCGGACTATAGTCCGCTGTATGGATTCAGAGGTGGCTTTTGATTGGTCACATCGCTTGATCGCCCTCGACTTGTTACGGCGAGTTGGACAATCCAATGGCACGTCGCAATAAGGCTGATGATAAACTAGCCTTATTGGGTCGATGGAGCTAATGGAGCCCAGGGCAACTCGAGCCGGAAATATAAAGTCGAGGCGAACCTCGTTGTGTTTGCTTCATCAATTCGGGAGTATAAACAAGCTATAGCTTAAATCGGTCAATTTAGCAACCGAGCCAAAGAAATTGCAAGTGTCATTTATTTCGTTTTGCAATATTTAAGTCTAATTAAAAGTTCCTGTCTTAAACATCTTGTTTCGAGCATCTTACTGTTGGATCGTGTTAGACCTTAACAGCACATCCAGGATTTCACCCGCCGAGGTGAAATGAGATATGCTTGGATGCCAATCAAGGTTGAATCGGCAGAGGAATATAGCTACAATCTTTCCGAAAGCTCTGTCGCTGATCAGTCGCTTGGCTCGCTCAGGCTGAACATCCCGAGCCTCACCATTTTGTACAATGATCACCAGGATGACTCCCAACTTTGAAAAGTCGTTGTACCCGATGCCGGCTTGAACAAGGATGATATTCTCATAACCGGTGACGCGGCTGGAGCTCTGTTCATCAATGAGACTTCGCAATTGACGCCGGACGATCACATCGCGGTCGTGCGACCAAACTATGCAACCGATCACGAGACTCCACGGGCGATTGGGTGTCACATCAGCTTTGTTGACTTCTAATTCGAACCTGGCTTCCAGCCGGATGTGGTCTTCATTGAATCCTGCATCCCCCTAAGACCAAGATGGTCTCCATCACCTGTCCATACAACCCCACTAATACCCTCCTTTCCAAAAAGATTTTGGACGAGCTCGTCGCCACCACGAAGAAGAAGGACTGCTTTCTGCTGGTGGATAAAACATACCGGGACGTGCACTATGGCGTACAGCTTCCTGTTGCAGCATCTCTTGGTGACCACGTCCTAAGTGTTAGCATTCTGTCCAAATCGTTTAGCGTGCCAAGTATTCGACTGGACGGTTTATAAATGCAGAACAAAAAAATCTCAGGAGTATTTCCTTCTTGCTAAGGAGCAGATCAGCATCAGGGGAAGCGTCATCAATGAATGGAGTGCTATCCAGTTTTGGTCGGACAGACAGACTATTTTGACTCTGACGAACAAAGTGATGGAGACTGGAATTGATATGGTTAGATCCTGGATTGAGAAGGAAGATCTTCTGGGGTGGATCGAACCTGCTAATGGAGTGGTGTGCTTCCCTCGGATGATAAAACAGCCAGCTAGTAGCACGGCTCCTATGAAAGACTGTTGAAGTATCAAACATATGTCGGACTGGGTCACTGGTTTGAGATGCCTGATACCATTTCCGCCTTGGTTTCGGCTGGCCAACTAAAGAGGAAAACAATGGTGGTATGGAGGCTTTTTCCAAAGCTTTGAGGGACAGTGATTGAGATATGCACGGGGACAATGCACTTGATTTCTATAATCATCAATGATATTCATCCTGCATGCTGCATCTCTTGCCAATCATACGACTTCTCCTTTCTCTTTGTTTCTAGAATTTTGTTAGGAGCGGCAACCAGGTTCGACTGTATAGCTGGCCGAATCAGGGTTAGGTAATCGACTCGGCGGCCGGGGGATTCAGGTACAGTGAACATTTTCCTGGCTTTCAATATAATCCATCATAACCGACAGTACCAGCCAATAGCAGACTATGCCGAGCCCGCTGGTTTTGTGCTATGGTGGCTCTACGGCCACCAAAGAAGAGACGGTGACACAGAGTGCTAGAGGAAGAAAGTCAAAGTACGCTGTAGTCGAGATCCATATGAATACGTATACATTAGGTTATAAGCATTCAGTACCCGGTACATGTATGCTCACGCTGTACCCGATTTCTGAGGAAATATAAGCATGCATCAATACCATTTGCTGCTAGCCACCTCGTACAGGGAAGAGTGGTTGCAAAAATAGACATTAGTGGGACTATTGGAATTAAACATTGGTAACGTGTAGTCCAGGTGCCGGGATAACTATCGCTTCGGGAAGCGATGGGCTCCAGGGGGTTATAGGGTGGGTTAGGGCTTTAGTTTATTGGCCTAAGCTTCTGTGGCGGTTAGAAAACGGCAGATATAGGGCAACCGTGAGAGTTCAGAATTTGCTGTAGCCTAGCTGGCGCACTGAGGTTACATCAATCATGCGATCTATTCCAAAAAGAGTACAAAAAGAAAGCGAAGAAACGAGGGGAAGTGCCAGTATCTGTGACTAAAGCCTCATCTACATGTGTCTCGGATTTATTTCAAATCTCGCAGAGGCTAGCTGTTTGGGAAAAGCCCTGATTCACGTTTCTGTGAGCCAAAGTCGGAGAGAATGTCCTTCATAGTTAGATAATTCGAGTGCCTCTACTCGCTGAAGGATATGGACCCATACATACAGACTGCCTGAACGTTTTAAGTAAATATCTGTGGTAGCCATCCATCCACCCCTTCCAACCGGCTAATATCGCTGAGATTAGGGACAGGGTAAGAGCATATGAGACTACATATTGAGGTTGCATTAAGAGAAAGTGGATATAGACCCCTGGTGTCTTCCGCTTCTCTAATTCGATCGTATTGATTACTTCTGTCAAACCAGCACCCTAGGGCTGATGTCCGGCTTCAGATACTTAGCCCCAAACTTATTTAAAGATCTTCGTGGATGACCCTTACCAAATGCCCTGTTTTGAGACTTTACGTATCTGCATCTCCCTGTATTTGGTGAGTCACCTCAGGTAAATACTTTGTCGTTATAGCATTAGGTCATCCTACTATGCATGACAAGTGGTGTTCATGGGAAGAAACATGTTACGTGAGATAAGCTAGCATCCATGCAAAGAATTAGTACCTTGTCAGAGGGCTGGATGTAATTTGATTGCAGGAATTGACTCAGTTGACAGACACTGAAGGGTGTGATGGCCTGACTCGCTCAAAGCGAGATATAAATACCGTAGGTCCTGCCAAAGCCATGTCAGAAGTAGTCCCTAATATCAATCATCACAAATGAAACATTTTGAAATCATTCAGCCCTAAGACCAAGCAAGTAGAAACTGTATCACATGACAACGCGTCAACAAACTACAAATGTTGTCCCAAACTCTCCTCCGTACACTCTTCATCGCCATGTCTGTCGCAGCTTGTGCACTGGCTCTCTCCCCTCGGTCCGCCATCCACGAGGATGAACTTGACCGCTACGACGCTTTCCTGTCCAGTATTCAAGATTCCCACTTCATGGACATGTATCTCGAAAACAGCCGAGTCAAGATCGATGTTTATGAGCACCCGTCCAACGAGCTCGCGCTTTCCGAACACTTCACTCCAAGCGACACTGCAAACCAGTACTTTGACCAAGAGGAACAGCGTGCTCAAGAGGTATTGCAGCCAGCAACGGCTTCGGATGACATGGTACACGACTCGACGTTGGAAAAGAGATTGGACAACAGGTGCCCACCTGCTAACACTCTGCTGAACAGGGACGCATCGGTTCTTGAGAAACGCGTCTCTAGGTGCTACCAGTTCTGCGGGACGATTGCCAACTGCCGTGGAAACAATGGGTGTCCTCACTGCTATGCTGTTCGACAAGGGTGTTTGTGGCAGAAATGGTGCCGTTAGGATTAAGGGCTGCCGTGCTGTGTTGATAGCTCGCGAGGGATGATAACATATTTTTGTTACAAAACTTTTTACAACTGAAAACTTGTCTGGTGGATTGCATTCAACATGCAATATATGCAGTTTACCATCCGTTCCTACTATGACTACTGGTGTTAACGTGTTGTATTCAACATGCAACAGTTCCGATTGATCCATCATTACAATCAACAAACTTTTCCGCTCCTTCTGGCGTGCATATGGATCAATTGTAGAAGTCAAATCATTTTGTCTGCGTGTACGATGCGATGCATACGCGGAATTGATTCTCAATGGCCACGAGGCTCTTAGTCTAGCGTTGTGGTATTAACCACACTTCACTACCAGACAAATATCATATGCGATGTATCTTCTAGACTTCACCTCATTCCCACCACGCCAGAAACCGGGTATCCTCAAATGAAAACGAAGCCAGCAACCCATATAGCAAAAGACACAAACAAATCACTCGAATAACATCTTCAACTCCTCAATCCTATCCTTCTTCTTATCTTCGTCACCATCATCACCACCGACCCTCAACCCGAGTGACCCTGCAATGTTCATCTTACGTTCCTGGACGCGCAACATGCGGCCCTCTATGGAGTCTTTGACTATGAACCGTGTGACGGAGACATCCCGAGTTTGACCCATTCGGTGGACGCGGTCGATGGCTTGGGCTTCGATTGCGAAACTCCACCATGGATCCATGACGAAGACGTGGCTGGCCGCTGTAAGGTTGAGGCCGACACCGCCGGCGCGGAGGGAGATGAGGAGGACTGAAGGTGCTGGTGTTGTGGGTACGTCCCTCCTGGCAAGACCCTCTCCCCCTGGAGTGTCATCTTCTGGGTCGATAATATCGTCATCGGTGTAGCTTTCTTCTTTTGTGAATTCGGCTAAAACTGAAGCACGAGCCTTTTGTGGCATTGTGCCGTCGAGTCGGAGATGGGAGATTCCAACTTTGGAGAGTTGCGGGCCGATGAGGTCTAGGAATGAGGTAAATTGGGAGAAGACGACGGATTTTGTGTTGGGGGGCATGCGGGAGAGATGGTTTATGAGAGCGTGGATCTTGGCGGAGGTATGGGCGGATGGAGAGAGGGGATAGATGCGACGGAGAGAGATGCGAGGGGCGGGCTGGGAGCTGGATGGTGGTATGCTGCTCACGATATCGTCGTCGAGAGGGATCGAGTGCGAGGACGGATGCCGAACTACCTCGAAGATGTTCTTTGCGTCGACTGGGGCACGACAATTGAAGCATCTTGCCTGGACGTTCTTGTTCAACTGGTGTTGCATGAAGTCCTCGAGACATTTTTTGCAAGCACTATGCCAACATGCGGTCACCGCAGGGTCGATCATAGGCTCTTCACAGCAGATAGGGCATTCTCCGCTGGACTCAGTTTGGATTTGACGGAGAGCATGTGTTGTAAATTTAACTGTTGCCCCTGAGCGTTCTTGGGATTCGGCATTCTCATTTTCAACATTGAACTGGTCGATCAGCTCTTGAAGATCCATGTCGTCCTTCAGCTCATTCGTGGCATCGGCGGCCACTGCTCTATCCTCTTCATCTGCAACAATTGATTTGTTACGTGTCAGCACAGGATGGCAGCAGGTCTGACGAAGTCGAAGGATTTGAGCAAAGATAGTGCTATACGATTTCAAAAGTGTGCCAGCCTCGACATTATCGTTGTAGGTTCGTTTGGCGCGTGTGAATATACAGTCATAAATCTCTCGTTCTTGTGTTGGAAGTTCTACTTCCTCGATGGTAATGGTCTTCCGCGGCAAGGGAACCAATGGCTCGCCTTCGGGGGTCTTCATCGACTTGGTTCGCCGGAGCACAAGGGGCTCCAGCACGCTTTGAACCACGTTCAGTGCACGCACGTACTCTTTCGATTCAAATGGCACGGTGATGAAAGTCTTCCAGAAAGAAAAATTACTCCATGGTTCGACTTTGAGGAAACGCACTAGACTAAATAGGTCTTCGAGACGATTGACAATTGGTGTACCGGTCAGAGCCCATCGATGGGCTGCCATCAGCTCACAGCATGCTTGTGCTGATTTGGAGCGACGGTTCTTGATGACATGGGCTTCGTCAAGGATTATTCGGAAGAAGTTGACAGAGAAGAGACCCCCAGTTGCGCTGGGTCCTAGCGCAGACTGGAGAGCGAGTTGGCGGAACTCCGATAGTACCACGCCATAGCTGGTGACAATCACTTGAGGTGCCGTTGCATGATTGGATTCACAGCATATCTCCCTCAAGTTCATAGCCTTGTCTGCTCCATAATATACGAGAACCCTCAATGTTCCGGCTTTCAATGCCTCGCTTTCCCATTGAGAGATCAACGAAGTTGGGGCAACCACTAATGTGGTATATGGCGCAGGAACCACTCCAGTGGAGGCTGGCATCCTTGCTAGATCATTCACGGAGGCAATACCATTCGCGACTTGCGGATCTGGCTCAATTCTGTGAGAATGAACCAAACTGAGCATCTCGATGGTTTTACCAAGTCCCATCTCGTCGGCCAGGATTCCACCCTGGCAGCGTTGTTCCTGTGCAGGAAAGTCGACGCTTAGATCGCCCGAATATGGATTGACGTAGAAATGATCAATTTCTGGAACTTGAGGTAGATCATTATCATCCACATCCTTCGTGGGCCACGTGTACTCCTCCCATAAGGGATGCATCGACTTCTCTCGGGCTTGATTTGAGTCTTGCTCTTTGGAGAGCATCCAATGGAGAGCCTGACGTTGATACTTCCTTAAATCAAGCGAGAAGCTGGGCGCGGGATCGGCCCCGGGCATGTTAAAATCGAATGACTGGGCCTTGCGGTAGAGAGCATCCAGTTGGTCTTCCTCCAGTTCTTCGGTTTGATCTTCCTCGGAGGAGTCGTTGGGATCTTTAGTCGACTTTGACTTATCTTTCTTGGAGCTATCATACTGGTCCGCAATTTCGGCTGCACGCAGAAGACCGTCTCTTTTATGTTTTTCTGTAGTCGGGTTGGTCGAGGTGGGATGAAGATTGATCTCATGGAACAATTTTACAAGAGCCACTTGGCGCAGTCGCAAATTCTTTTCTTCGGTGCTCTCCTTCTCCTCGAATAAGCCAGTCGACCTATTGTCATCCTTGTGCAGCGCAGCAAAAGCCCCGCGTTGAAATGCCTCTCGGCGCATGAAGACTCGCAATTGCAAGTAAATTGTATCATTGACGCGGACCCTGTCGGGTACGAACACGCAGACGCCTTCGAAACGACAGATCTTTTGGTCAATCAGGGTAGACACCCACTCAGCTATCTCGTGGGGAAGTCGTCCGATTTCTTGACCAGACGTGTTGGTGAATCGGGTGAGAACATCGCTCTTGTGGTTCATGAATGATTTGCCCCCACGACCGCGTTTTAATGTCGGCTGAGATCGAGCTCGCTCGATATTCACGATTTCCCCATGCTTGAGACACGCTGGCCCACTCCTGGTTGCCCATCCACCGACCCCAAATGCCCCAACATATCGGGAAAGCGGTTGCTTTGGAACGAGGGATTCAACTGCCATTAAACCACTCTTTGACTGTTGAGTGATGGATTCCCGCGACCTCCCAGTTCCAGGCTCAGCTTTCATTTTAACTCCATTTTGTTGACCTCGGCAGGCGGAGATGGAGTTGATCCCGCCGGGCTTCTTCCATGATCCATCGAAGTATATGTTCACAGCTCGTTCGATATTGTATGAGGCGGCTTTTCGGATAGTTGCGATGGACTCGGATGGCAGTGTTTCTCCAATGATGCTAGTAAATAGCTTAACATCGAATTCACTCTCTGTTTTATCTTCTGCAGGTAATCGGTCGAGGCTTCCTTCAGCGTGATTGAGGAACGACGCGTTGGTGTCTCGGGTTTGGATCGGTAAAGGCGAGGGCGGAATGTCGGAAAAGAAACGCTGCCTCTTTAATGGCGGTTGCTCTCCATCATGGCTCATATTGGATGGAGCATGGGGCTAAATCATGGAAGAAGGTGAAGAGTCGGTTTCGGAGACGCGCCAGAGAAACGCGAAGTCAGGTGGATCGACGTCAGCAAAAAGTTGCAATTAAAAGCTCACGTACTACAGGAGATATAAGTAGAACTACATCATTCTATTCAGTACATCTTCTCTATATAGTCAAATACAACATTTATCTACTTTTAGTGCAACTATGAGCATCCAAGTCTCGCTGACAAAGACGATCCACGAGCCAATACTTTTTGCCCGATTACATCTTCTCTTCTTCAGGTCGCGAATCGCAACTCAAGCCTCAAATTTGACATGTCTTTTCTCGCTCGGCCATGCCGAAGAGCGAACAGAATAAGTCTGCAAAGCTTTCAATTAAGGCGAAACTTCAGTCGGACACAAGCTGTCGCCGCACCTATCACCGCCGAAGAAGTCCAAGGCGCTCACAAATATTGCGTCGGTCTGCTCTCGTATGCTTCACCTAGTCATGGACTCCTCAAACCAGTCCAAGTCGCTAATCAAGACCTCCCCGAACAGCAAATATGACCGCCCCTCCTACACATTGAGCACCTTCATCCCGCGCCATGCGCAATCCTTTTACATCGCGCTGCGCGCATTGAACGTTTCCCTCTCCATGATCCCAGACACAACCTCATCCCCAACAATCGGCCTAATGCGCCTCCAATTCTGGCGCGATGCCGTAACAAAAATCTTAGCGGGCACGCCGCCAAAAGAACCCGTCGCCATCTTGCTCGCCTCCGCCATCTCCGATCTCCACGAGCGCACGCAGGGCCGGGCGCGGATCAGTAAGGGCTGGTTGACTCGCATAATCAACTCGCGAGAACAGACGTTAACAAATGATCCATATACGAATATTGCCGCGCTAGAGTCCTACGCTGAGAATACCTACTCGACACTTATGTATTTGACGCTGTCTGCCCTTCCCATGGCATCTGTAACGGCCGACCATGTTGCGTCGCATATTGGAAAGGCTGTTGGGATTGCAGCTGTATTGCGTGGACTGCCTTTTGTTGCATTCCCCACACCGCCTGCTCAGTCGCCTTCTGGGGGTGCTGCGAATAGCCTAATGATGGGTGGTGCGAAGCAAGGTGCTGTGATGTTGCCTTTGGATGTTATGGCGCAGGCGGGTGTTAAGGAAGAAGAGGTTCTTCGACGGGGAGCTGAGGCTGAGGGTCTTCGGGATGCGGTCTTCACGGTTGCGACGCGGGCGAGTGATCATCTGATTACCGTGCAGCAGATGCTGAGCAATCTCCGTGCCGGAGAAGATGTGGGCCACGACTTCGAGCATGAGGGTGAAGAGGGTCATCAGTATAGTGTCTCTGATGCTCGAAGTGGTGAGTCGCCTCTAGATGAGATCAACCGGGCCTTTGGTGTCTTCATGCCGGCCGTGGGCACGAGATTGTGGCTCGATCGCCTTGAGAAGCATGACTTTGATGTCTTTAGCCCGGAGCTGCTTCGATCTGACTGGAGACTTCCGTGGAAGGCTTATATGGCGTTCCGACGGAAGTCTTTTGATTAAGGCTTGTAATTGTAAGCCTTGTACAACATGTATCTATATGCTTCGATTCTAGACCTGTCCCCTCTAGTACATTAGGAAGATAGCAAAACGACATCATGATGCAAATAAATAAATCAAAATTCCTAACAGAAAAAGAAAGACAAAAACACCCAAGTTTGGCAGGAACTCACTTCAAACTCGGAATTTGATATATAATACAACACTAGAATCAGTTTGTTCAGCTATATAGACAATAAATGTACAAATAATACAGAGATATCAAGACATTCCCACACAGCGAGAGACAAATTGACACCAAAAGATCGCACGCAAGAAGGTAGCAATGATCTATTCCTTCTTCCTCTCCCGTCTCTGTTTCCGGGAGCTGACAATCAAACGTCTCTGAGCGAGCATAACAGCGTAACGCTGGATTTTATCACGCCTAAAAATAAAAATTAGCACTGGGTTGCTTTGACGAGGCAGTAATGGAAACTCACATCAGCAGGAAAGTCGTTGCGCAAACGAATGGTACCGCAATCTTCCAGAAGTAACTGTCCAGGCGCGTTAGCAGAAGATGTTGTGGCAAGAGTTGTTGAGCTTACCCGTCGCTGTGTTCTATTCCAGCGAAATCTGTGAAGTTCATACCGAAATATCCCTGGATTGGGTTGGTAACTGTTTGAATTGGAGAATAGGTCACACATACTGTCAAGAATGTCATGGGAAGGTATAAGCAAGTAACAAGAGTCAACTGCTTCATACTCTCGTTTTGGTAGGCACCTGTGCAGGGAATTAGTTTGGTTTATTTGATGAGAGACAGTAAACATACCAATAGTGTTGAAAATAAGGTCGATCATGTTATCAGCAGCCCGCCGCATCTGGTCATACCCTTCTACAATGGTAATGCAATGATCTAGCGCATCGCCCAGGTATGTATGGCACATGGAGCTGATGGTGACACTTGTGCCAGCGAGGCTCTTCAAGTTTGGGGTGATAACACCGACATGAGGACGAGGGTCAACTGGCTCGGCGGGTGTAGTAGCCGGGCTTAGAGGATTTCGCAAGACGCCAAAGCCAGGTGTACCGACTGGCTCAGAGCGGTGATCACGGAGTGCATTCATCACGGCCACGATTGGTTGCATAGAGTTTCGCAGAACCGCAATCTCAGATGTTAAGATGTACAAAGACTTTGACTGATCGATGTCGGGATCTGTTAAGACCTCTAGTTCGAGGTCACCAATGGCGTCTTGGTAGGCCATTGTGACTGGGATTGCCAAATCAATCACCGCGTCGATGATGGCTTGCAATAGCATGCTGGCATCGCATGACTGTCGAAGGATAGTCTCGGGCGAGCTGAGACGTCGGACAATTGGCGCCTCGATATCGTCCGCACTCGTTTCGAAGAACGATGTCACCGTGTTATCTGCATGTAGGAAGATTGAGACTTGCTCCAAGGTGACAGACAAACCCTTGCCGGCAAGTACGGCGTGGCGTTCCATGAACTCGATCCGGTCTTCATTGGGACCACCGCGATACCGCTGGAGAGTCCTAGCTGTAGTCTGTGTCGCGGTTCCAACATTTCCAAAATGAGAAGCGTGTTTCGAAGACCGTCGTCCAAGGCCAGGCCGAACGCTGGAGCCAACCGTTGGCTTCTCCTTCTCTTCTTTGCTAGTGGATCTTCTGAACCGGAAAATGTCCTTCAGTGCTTCCAGAATAAGACTGGTTTTCGTGGGTCTCTTTAGAGAGATCGAGCTTCTGTCACTCATCACAGAGTTTTTCCGGTCCTTCGACCTCCATCGACTAGCCGGAACCTCCTCTTCCTCCTCCGAGTCACTTTCCTCCTCATAGATCTTCATCAACTTCTGCAATGTCAACACGACAAAGGCATGGTCTGAATACCAATCTGCCTTCGTACGATTGGTCGTATGAACCAAATCCTCAATCGCAAGGCGATGCAATCCTTTATGATTTCCAAGAATCTTGATAACATCCCAACTGAGTCCATTGACGTTAATCCACCGACATTGCACCCAAGGCTCCCTCTCCCGCTCGAGGAATTGCTCCAATGTATCATTATCCAATTCGTACTGCCGCATCTCATGCTGGGAGAAGTCCACAATGGTAATTTCGCAGCGTCGGTGTAGATCCGCGGGTATATTCGACGACCATTCTGATGTATATGGGGGGAGCGGTTTGGTCGGGTCGATACCAGGTTCATTTCCCGGCTGCCAGTTAGAGTCCTGGGCAAATCCTTCGGGGTGGTATGAGCGTGCGGTGTTAGAGCGTCGGGCTCGGCGTTTGGTCGTCTCGCTGGAGTTGACTCGTGCTGCGGCGGTGCTGAAGACCGGGAATGAACTCCCCTCTCGCCCATCCCTCCCTGTTGGGGAGACCTGGGAACTGATCGACCCGCGCCCTGCCTCCACGTCGACATGGTGCAGAGACTCGGATCGCATCGCACCGGGCTGCGCGTAGTCTAGTTCGTGTACACTCATCGTGGTCAAGGATCAAGGCTCAAGTGGATGCGCTTGTGTAATTGTGTCGGTGGTATGCCAGGTTTTCATCGGCCGCGCAACCAGATCTTGCCCCCTTGAACCGTGTTCAATTAAGTCTTTGCTCACAGGAAGATTATGAGCAGCGAAATTCGGGCGACTAGATAGAGAAAAAAGGGGGAAAAGCGAAGGCGCGTCTCATGAAGACACCACTGCTCCGAGGGAAAACATGGTGGCCCGGCGGGGAAATGACGTCTGAGGAATTGAGGGTCGATCTGCCGCGTCTGCTAATAAATGCAAAACAGGATAATCTGCAAAGAGCGTAAAAGTGAAGAATTATAAGAAAACAGTAGACGGGCAGTCTCCAGGTTAACATGCCAGGTGAAAGGGGTGGAGAACTGGACCCTTCATTACTTTATTTGGCGGGTACATCCGCCAGACTTGGCGAGATCATGATATGATAGAATCGTACGGTTGACTTAACGTTATAGTATAGGTACATAGGTCCGTTGACTTCTGAATCACATATGCATACAGCAACGCCGTCCCAATGCTGACCTCCAATCACTCCAGATATCACAAAATGCAGTTGAACAAAGACAATTAGTACAGTAGAAGGTAAGTCAAAAGGACAAGGAGAAATGACAAGAAAAGAAGGTACTATGCCCGAGCTGCTGGCCGAGGTTTCCAGGGAGAACGTTGGAAACCCATATGAGGCTGTTTGCTGCCACCAGAGCTCGAACGAGGGGGACTGCGGAAGTCTGGGTAGATGCCTGACTCCATGTCCATGAGAACCGCCCGCTGTGGCTCTGCGGAAGTCCAATTGGTAGACTTGCCCTTTGATTTAGAGGGAGTGCGGGCACTAGAAGTGCCGGGGCGGGCGCCTGCCTGGGTCTTCTGCTTGATGATCTCACGGAGTTCCTTGTCATCTTTTGTGACCTGAGCTTTGATGAAGTCGATATCATTGGAGGCCTGCAGAGCAGACATGACTGACTCACGCGGGGTGTATGAGTATTTTTCGGGGGCGGGAGCTGAGTGAGGTGTGATGGAAGGGTCCAAGAAGGCTTGCTGCTCTTTGTCGAGAAGCTGTTCGATGTCTAGGGTTTCACCATGTGGGATCTTATGAGGATGCGACGGAGTCACGCAATCCATGTCGACCTCCTTTCGGAGTACGTGGTCAACGTCGACAGCCGAGAAATAGGCACATGACTGGGGAAGATCATCGATGCCGACTTGCTGCGAGAACATAGCGCGGGTCCAAACATTTGCAATCTGCAATGCCATCGCAGCGCGGTACCTGTCTTCATCTTTGACAAGATAGCGAATTTCATCGTGGACAGTGATAGCCAAGCGGGCTTGAATATTGAATCGTCGAATGAGATAATCCATGCCGATGATCAGGAGATGGAGATAGTCAACGCCTGAGGATTGAATGGCCCAATTGATTCGAGATGTCATGAAGCTGCCTTTATTGATGAAGCGTCGCATTAGTGCTTCGGTGATACCGGCACCTAAAGCAGGAGTCCGGGGGCGTTCCTGATCCGCAAACTCCTCCAGTTTGTTGAAGACAAAGGACTCAGTGCCACCTCGCCAGAAGGGAGTTTCACTAAGCATACGACGTGAAGTGCGTGTTCCCTTTGTCTCTTTGTATAGGTTCTGGGCGGTCTCTTGTGTTTGCCTTTCAGTCAAAGACGGATTGAACTGACGAAGCAAGGTAGAGGCGAACTTGACGCCAGCGCCATAAATTCGACCATAGTTGAAGACCTTGGCATCATTACGCGAAATGCCCAGAATTTGCGCACTTCGCGAATGCAAATCAGTTCCTGCATTCTTGGAACCTTCAAGGGTCATGAACCCAATTGCATTTCCTCCATGGATCTGGAAGGTGGCGTCGCCCACAAGACTTGCAATCCACAGCTCTTGGGAGTCAACATCAGCTCCAACAAACGAATGGCCTGGAGGTGCTTTGATCATTGCCTTCAACTCTGACCCGACACGATTTGCCTTGGCATTGCTCGCAGTCAACCAAGTATTTTCCACTGCACGGCGAGTAATAGTTCCCATTGGGATGACTTGAGGCAAAATGAATCCGACACGATTGTCATTTGCGGCTTGCTTCTTGCCATCCTTGGATACTTGATCCTCGTAGACCACAATCTGGCTCTTGATGCGATCTCGGGCACTGATCCAGTATGAGCAAGAAGCGTTCATGTCGAGTGCTTCTTTGGCAAGTTCATATTGAGAAGACAGGATTCCACGCTCAAAATACCCCATATAACCTTTACCCAGTGGGTTGGTACATCTGGCCTGTGGGCCATCTTTGTGAGGAATCTTGAAGTATGTGTTTTTCCTGTCGTCTCGTAACTGGGGGTCTGTTTCTTCGGCCATATCACACAGAACGACTGGTTGGTTTTCGTATTGCTTAAGCTGGTCACGAGGAACTCGGAAAGTCCATCCATGTTTATCAGACCAGACGAGAGGATAGTTATCCCAAGACAACTTGAGAAGAATTGGTGCGATGCGAGTTCGCACAGTGAGGTTGATTTCTGCGGCATTCGTCGCAAAAAGATCCTTGTACCACTTGGGCATTCCCGGCTTCTTTTGCCTTGCCGCGGGGCGAGGGGGATCGTTCTTCTTCTTCCCTTTCACCATTTTGATCTCTTGACCTGACCAGTCCAGCTGGCGCAACCAAGGATCATTCATGTAAACATCTGGTTGGTCTTTGCATTTCAATGCCTCATCACATAATTCAACCAGTTTGCGTTGGACCTCATTAAGTCGCGTATGATATGTTTCCTCGGCGCTGGTAAGATACTCTTCCCAGGATTGGTTGACCGGTAAGATAACAGAGGATAAGTGTCGAAGAGCACCGAAACTAACAGGATGCGGACAAGTGTCGAGAAAGTTGGGAAAGACTCTCCGGTATACACGGTGGGTGATGGAAACATCAGCGGCACAATAGTCGAGAAGTTCCTCTAGTCTGCACACAATAGAGTCACGATCGAGTTCACCGAAAAGATCTCTTTGCGCTTTGTCGATGGTGACATCACAATGGAACTTGGCCACGTCTCGCAGCGAGTTCACCGAGCTCCGTCCAACCCACAACTCTTCCTCCTCTTCTCTCAGCATGTTGCTTTCGAGAAGCGCTGCAAGCTCCACGGAATTGTGCTCATTTGCGATCTTATCTCTCAAGTCTTTATTCTTTTTATGCCGCATCCAAGTTGGTCTCTGCTGTGAACACATGCCATTCACTGCAACGTGAAGAGACATCGTATCGAGGAAGAAGTTTTGAGACTGCTTCATATCGTATTCCTCTAGAACCCGTGCCCGATCATAGCCGATATTGTGGCCAACGACAATACGGGGCTGGGTAGGGTCGCCCAGAGGTATCAGCTGAATCTCATTGTTCGACTCGCCAAGGAGCCAGGGCGAGATCCAGGCATACCATGCAGTCGGACTCACTGCGCAAGCCATGACAGCAAATGAATTTTCTTTATACATGACTTCGGTGTCGAATGTGAGCATAGACTCATTGGGAGCATCGACGGGTTCGGAAGTGCCATCGGAATTGTATTTCGTCCATCCACTGCGTCTTTCCCATTTTCGCGGTTTAGGCGGACAATTGACCGTCGCATAAGATTTAGCGTATGTTAAAAAAGGCTCGGAGGAGTCCATTCCAAGTTTGTAGAAATGTTCATCCAAAGTTTGGCCTTGAAGAGCAGGGAGATCGAATGCGACAGGGTTTGCGCCACTTTGTGATTTGCCGAGAAGGTCATGGCGGGCAAGATGATCTTTTGATACTGCGACTAGATCTGGATTCGGGATTCGACCTTTGATTGGGAAGACTTGGGGATGGACGTAATCGCTTAATTGTTGGACACCGATATCGTTGAATCTGGATGAAGCCGGAACTGCACAGGATCAGTATTGCAGATTACTCATTAACATTGCGCCGGAAAGCACCAACCAGAGAGGGATCGTTTTGAGATAGTATCATTATCTGCACCTGTAGAGAAACACCTGATTTGACCTCCTTGCGAAATCCATGGTTGCGCTCGAACCAGGAGTGGCAAGTGAAATCGCGAGAAAGACCTCACGGCACCCCTGGAACAAGGAGCGCAGGAAGACTTCCAAGATAACATCATCTGATTTAGTCTACCAGTATTAGGTCATGGTAGGAAGGTGTCACAGCCGTGTGGCTGTACTTCAAAACAAAAGAAATGGCTTAGACGCGAACAGTTCCATATCATTTGCCTATCGCGGTATCTGTCAGGGCGTCATGCCGGCCCCGGAATAACATACTACCCGTTGGTGGTCACCGCCTCGGTTTGTAAGGCTTATCGTCACGTGTATCGTGATAAGTTCTATCATCTTGCCGCCGCATTCCCCTCGGTCTCTTTGAATCTATTCATTGTTACTGTAGGTTTTTCTGTTACTGTTACTGGCAAGGGTTTCAACCCGACATTGGGTCTGTGAGCGTTTGACCTTCTTGTCACTGGTAGTAACTCTCCTCAAAGACCTCAAAGATCCCAAAGAACGGTACCAGAGTGGTAGATCTGACGGCCTTGGCTTAATACTCCGCCGAACGTTTCAACTTTCACTTTGGGACTTCTTGAAACACTCAGCATTGCTATAGGGTCCTAAAAAGCGATTCTGGTGTATTTTAACCATGGCAAGCCACAGAGCCAACACCACAACCTCAACAACCTCACCCGAACCCACGAACTCCATCCGTTTAACGTCGCCCATAATGCAAGCCAGCTCGCATCGCGTCAGCTCGAACCATGCATCCTCCTCCAGAGTGCGGTCTCGTCCACTCCCACCTCCGCCTTCAAAACGTCGGCGCGACACAGATGATTCCACCACTTCATCTTCACCTGTCTTCAAAGCCCCTCGAACCACTGAACGCAACGGCGAGATCGGCCGGACGGTGAACTCTGGTATCGACTTGACTGGCGAATCACATGTCGATTTGACCAGGGAGGCGCCAGTCCCGCAGATCGACTTGACAGGACACTCAGGCTCAGCTCATATGTCACAAGCGCTAGATTTGCAGCGCAGAGCGGCACAGCAAGCAAAAGATGCCGCCATGAAAGCGGACGAAAAACTTCTCAAGAATCGCAAGATCCCAACTGAAGAAAAACGAACGACCCTGACCGCCTACAAGTGCCCAGTGTGCATGGATACCCCGGAAAACGCAACGAGCACTCTATGTGGTAGGTCGATGATAATCTCGCAGCGTACCGGTTCTTTTACTTACTCTTTACTAGGACATCTCTTCTGCCATAAATGCATACTTGAATGCATAAAGATGAGCCAGCAAGTAAGACTGGATGGCACGAAACCCAAGCCTGCTTGTCCGGTGTGTCGGAAATCGCTTATGACAAGGGGGGATAAGGATGGCAAGTCGAGCTTGACTCTGCTGAACCTCAAGTTGCTGTGCACAAGAAAGGATGAATCCCCAGCTGTAGCTGCGGAATAGTCTTTCCCTGCTCTTTCATTTTAAGCATTGCAAATCGGCGCATTGGGAATGGACAACGGACACATCATATGGCATTTGGCGCAACGGAAGCGCATTTTCGCTTAGGCAACGGAGTTACGGGCATGGCATTCGGGGGCTGTGGGTGGGATATTGTGGTGTTGCATTTTCTGACATCTCATTTGTCTGTACAAAGGTTCTCAATTACCCTACTATTTTACATTATCAAGCATAGTATTTATCTTCAACCTGGGTGATTCGTAGATGATTAGATTCATTGTATATTATTGTACAGTCTAAGGACCTCCGGTGTATCTTTGGATATGGCGTTCTAACGGTCTCTTCTCGCAGGGTCCAAAGTATTCCGTCTACCCAGCCCACCGTCTAACCCACCTCGAACCATCGCATCTCCCTTCTTCCCTAAGACGACCTCAATCGCCTGAATAAGTGCATTGGGATCGTACTTCATCCCAACAATAGTCTCCCTGTCACCATCTTTAACTGTGATCTTCCGCCCATACAGACGGAGCGTCTCGATACCCATGTTTGCAAGACGCTCACGGTCCACATGTGGTGTACCAGGTCCCTCCAGGTGCAATACATGAGTCACATACGCAGTATACGGAAGGGATCTGTAATGCCGAGTGGTAGGTTTAGATGAGTCTGACGCAGCATCATGGGCTTGACGCTTGAAGATATCAATTGGACCACGCCCACGACTTTCCTCTCCAGCGCTGACGATTGCCTCAACGAAATCGGATGCGACAAACGGTGCAGATGGAGGCCCTGTCTCTCTGTCTAATGATCCATTCAGAATTAGGATCTTGTGTCGGGCTGGGCTTGAGGCTATGCTTTTGCCAACGCCTCGAAGGACGATAGCTGGGATGATTGATGTGTAGAGGGAGCCGATGCTGTAGATGATGGCTTGCGAGTCATTTATTGCCTCCAACACACGTGGATTTGCGGGTGGTCGGATTTCCTGGCCATATGGGTTGATATACCAGATTCGAGTAATTCGAGAGCTGAGATCTTCATTTTCGGTTTTGCTGAATTTGATGTTTTTATTGCGAAGAGTTGCCAGTGATCCAGGAAGATGGTCTTCTTCGTAGGTCATCGCGTCTGAGACTTCCGAATCCGTGTACTCTACATCGTCGCCATCGGCAAGGAGCAGACTTGGTCTCCTAGAGCCGGGAGTGTGCTGTAGAGCTGTCGTCTCGCCAGGATGGGATATGCTATTCTGACCGACGATGACAGTCCCATCTGCAAGAGATGCAGAAATATGGTGGGAAAAGTTGGAGTTGATAGCCGGGATCACACGCACAAGATCTGAGGGCACACCGCAGATACTTCCCAGCAAGTAGATGGCGCTTTCAAAACTGCCACTGAATAGCCGGGCTGCGGTCAGGAATAGGTTTCCCACGCTTGCCGAGGTAAAGTCGAATGTCGAAGATGGAGGCCGTGCACGTTTCAAAATCTCCAGATTTAATACATTGAAAAATGAACGGATCAACTCCTTTTTGGCGGGAGTGATGGCAATCCACAGATCGGACGTTCCGTCAACGATGGACTGCCATTCTTGAGCTGCAGCCACTGGTTCGGCAGGCAGACGGTGATTAAATAAGGACTTAATGGCTGATCTCTCCGGATTTGCTGGTGAATCAGGAATCAACCGCACCAATCTACCTTTCGGGGAAGTTAGCAAGTATGCCACGGGGATGCGATCCAGATTGTTAAGACTTACTTCGAACATCGCCGATTCCAGGACCTCCAAATATTCGAATGAGCTCGGAGGAAGATCCTCCATTGTCGCTGATGGGAATGATATAGCTCAGTTGGCAGTTCTTGCTCTCGCGGACCGCACTGAACACATCGACCAAGTTGTTCGCCGCGCTCCCCCCGGAAATAACAACAATTCCCCTGTTGGTTGTGGTCCCCATGATCAAAGTTGTGCCCAGCCTTTGGTTCTACAGAGTTGATGAACCCCAGAGGCGAAGTGAAGTGTACAGGGAAATTGAGCCGGAGACTTGGATTTGAGACATTGGCATGTTTGGCAGGCCCGAACACCCGCGCAACCACAGAAAAAGGCCACGAAGGTCGACTGCGCCCCAGGCAACATTTTCTATCAAAAAGACACATGGCTTCAACTATGACATTCTTATATTAGGAATTTTAGGATAAAGTCAGAATAGGGGCGATTGACCTGTACTAAATATAGATTCAGCTGCAGCTGTCACTTCTTCATACTCCACAACCCTCCGCAAATACCTGCAACGACCTTGATACTATGCAGATGCACATCAGAGTCCAGACAATGGAGGCCTAATACCTCCAGTCCCCGTCGAGCTCGTCAAGTCACCATCAATCACCAAGTAGCAGCACTAATCGGAACAGTCCGACACCAAAGCCAGCCGATAGCCCCCCAGTTTTCACGTAAGAGTGTTCGAAGCTGGATTCACTGTCAGTTCTCCACAGCCATATGTAACTCAGACACTAATCTCCCCAAAGCCCGCAGTAATCTTCCTAATCTCAGCCTGGTACCTTAAAATGGAACAGTACATCTACCTAAATTCCAACCCCAAACCAAATCCAAGCCAACAAACAAACTCTACCCAAAATAAACCAGATCAAAGCGCTTCATAATCTTCCTATCAGCAGGAATCCTCTAAGGAGCCTTCGGCAGCATAGTCTCGGGAGCAATACCCTCAAACCTAGACGGAACACACAACGTACGCGGCTGGCGCTGGCTACTCATAGTCGAAGGCATAGCAACAGCAGGCTTAAGTCTAATAGTACATTGGACGGTCCCCGACTACCCACACTGCAGCCGCGGTCTATCACCAGAAGAACAGAAACTAACACAGCAACGACTAATCGAAGATGGGGTTGCCGATCAACGAAGAACAGGCGATGATGCTGATACACAGGTCGCCTCCATCTTCACGGCACTGTTGAAAGCCCTCTCAGACTGGCGAAGCTGGATCCTCGCCCCAGCGCATATGACCATCCTTGGCGCATTACCGATTTCATACTTCTACCCCATTCTCATTAATGGCACGGAGTATACATCCACGATGGCGCAATACATGATCGCGCCGTAATACCTCGTTTCAGTAATCTTCGCCCGCCCAGTATTCTGGTTCACAGACTGGAATCCTAACCGTCGAGGTATACTCCTAGTTACAAATTTAGTCATGGGAATGGTATTCTTCGCCTTAACAGCTGGGATCAGGAATCACACAGCGCGGTATATATTCCTCTGTTTCATCAATGTGATGATCCGGACGGGGAATGCGCTGGCATTGTCATTTGCGACTACGGCGCTGGCTTCGGTTGGTCGAGAAGTTAGGGCGATTATGCTCGCTTGGATGAATGGTGTTGCGGTGCTGGCGCAGTTGTATGGGGGTGCTTTGTTTCCTGCTGGGGACTCACCTGAGTATCTGGTTGGGTTTTCGGTTTTGCGGCTACCTTTGCGCTTGGGGCGGTTCTTTAACGGGTTGCTGATGTTTTGTTTAGGAGGTTTCCTGGGTTTGGGCGGAGTAGCCGTGCTTTATGTGAAACTACGGGTTTTCCGGTTTCGAGGGTTCTGCTGTTGATATTAAGATTGATGTTGATTAATGCATACGGAGTAGAAATCCGCCCTTTCTGATATCTCGTGTTCAGTGGCGTGAATTTAGCAGTCTTTCTAGCTACATATACGTAGGCGCTGTACTGATCCAGGTTGTCAATTTCGTTGAACCGTTTATTATAAACTATATCCCCTATTAACCCCCAACAATCATCTATGTCCCTTAACTTTACATGCATGTGCTGTCCTGTCCAGACAAGACAAGACATGACCTTTATCAAAATTTAACATAAGCATCGAATAGAACATCCGAGCTTGAATTCATGAAACAATAAGAGCCCCCGCGGAACGTTCTCCACAAGGGCCAAATTCCCGTTGATTGCTTCAGCTGCTGCGTTCAGCTTAGTTGGTCACCTGAGCGGAAGGGCTACCACTGTACAGAACGAGCAGAATGATAGCGCAAGCACCACCAATGGCAATGCCCTTGGTGGCGGCGGGGTTGCTGCGGTTGTACTCGCCAACCTGGAGGCGCACGTCGGTGGCAAGGGTCTGAATCTTCTCAGCACCGAGCTTGTAGTACACCAGACCAGCCAGGGCAATGGAGTAACCGAAAAACTGCTGGGCAGTGACGGGGTCGCGGAAGATGAACATGGAGGCGCAAACGAGGAGGATATCCTTGAGGATACCGGCCATGGTCAGGACGACGGCGGAGGTCTTGCCGATTAGCAGGACAACGGAGGCGTTGAGAAGGAATGCAACCAGTGCGTTGGCAATAAGAGTGCCGATTCCGAGACCGTAGATGTCGCCCATGGTCAGACGGGGGAGCTCAGCAAAGAGGGTGACAACACCGTTGGTCACGGCGCAAGCGGGGGCGTAGTAGTACAGAGAGACGAGAGGGTCCATCTTGAACTCGGCGGAGCTGAGGAGACGCTGGACCATAACGAGACGGAGGGCCTCGAAGATGATACCACCGACCTGGACTGTGGGATTGTTAGGGAGTGAATTTAGGACTCGGAGGAAATGACGTACTCAGGAAACCGAACATGTCGAACTTGATTTCGCCGAAAGAGGCGATCACAACACCAACAACAATGAGGGAAACATTGCCGAGGGTCTTCAAGTTGGTAGGGGCAATACCGAAAGCCCAGGTGGCCAGGAGAGTCGCGACAGCGTTGGTAGCCTGTGCATGATGTTAGTCGGGCCTGGAATTCGAGGCGGGGGTCGGAATTGTGAAACAAGTCCTCGGTTTGTACGCACCTTGAGCATCTGGATGAAAGACACACTCAGGTAGAGGTAGGCCAAGTTACCGCAGATCAAACTCAAACTGAACATGATACCAATGGGCACAATGGCTCTCCTATAGACGCAGCCGCATATTAGCCATCAATTCGAGGTCTAGTCGCAAGTCTTGTGCAATGCGCCCTTGTATCCGCGGGATTGCTCACGTGTAGGTAGCAGGGTTCATGGGAACCTTGTGGCGCGAGTCCAGGACAGTGGTGAACCGGGCGAGAATCTGGGTCATCGCCGTGGCGAACACCATGTGCCATGTTGTCAAGAACAGGGCTGTTGTTTAGGTCAATAACGATTCATTTGGGTGCCAGGATTCGGATTCAGAGTTACTCACGGAAGTCTAAAAACGAGATCTGTTAGCTGCAATTCAGCACGAATTTCGGGATAGGGAAACATACTGAACTTGGCGCTGGCAAGAACCCACTTGTTGAACAAGATGACGCTGGAGCTCAGGGCAATCCACAGGCTAAAGTCGAGTCTCAGCAAATTGTTCCCAACGGCTAGGGAGATACGCACGCGATGTAGAAAGCCGGGTGGAGGCCCTTATCCTGGGGAGCGGTGTTTCCGCTCTCGAGCTTGCGCTCATCTGAACGACTGGCTGCCATGATGAAAATCGAAAAAACAGTATAAAAGAATGACTGTGGTGAGAAGAGTTGAAGAAGAGAAAATTAAGGGGAAAGTCAGGATTTATGGATCGGCAGTTAACACCCCCAAGCCCCCATCACTTCCAATCACAACGCAATTCCAACGGGTGTGGCCCCCCTAAGATTACACGTAACCCAAGTTTCAGGGTACAGATCTTGTCAGAGATTTTACTGGCATTTCTATCCCTGTCGATCAACACAGCCCCCACTAGGTGCTTAGCGTACTCTATCACGTCTTTGACCCTAGGGGTACTCGGGGTCTATCCTGGTCAAAGCCAAGTCTGAGATAATTTAGAGTCGAGTCAAATAGTCTCAAACGTTCAAGATATGTGGTCACGTGACCTTTAGATATCATTCTCGTACTGGCCGGGTAACCCTTCCAGCGTCCCATTCCTGACTTTAGCAGACCTTCAGTTCTCCCTGTGGACTCTCTCAAAAGCAAGATACAATGACAGACCTGATAGTTGATTGATGAAGTGAAAGTACTTCTCGGGCCACCCCACACCCCCAGCCGACTCCAATATCAACCATGCAGCCTCCTGGAAGTACTGGAACAACGTACCTGCCACGCCAAAGAGCATGCTGGGCGAATTTCCCTCAGTCTCACGCATTGACCTACAAGGATTAAAAGGCTTCCTAGCCAGAGTCCGCCGTCTAATCCTAGGAATCCCATCCGAGAGCAAAGTCGCACAGGGCGTGGACTGCGGCGCAGGCGTCGGCCGCGTGACAGAGAGATTCCTAAGCTATGTCTGCGAAAAGGTCGATGCGGTAGAGCCCATTGCCAAATTCATCAAGGTTCTGCAGGACAGTGCGGTAGCCAAGACCGGCGCTGTGGGAACCGTCTACACCAAGGGTCTCGAAGACTGGTATCCGGAGAAGAAATACGATCTCATCTGGACTCAGTGGTGTGTGGGCCATCTGACAGAATCGCAGTTCATCGATTACACCGTGCGGTGTCGCAATGTCTTAACTGAAATTGGTCTCATGGTTGTTAAGGAGAATTTGTCTACCCACAACCTTGGGCACGACATGTACGACGATGAGGATAGCAGTGTCACCAGGACGGATGCCAAGTTTAGGCAGGTTTCCAGGCTTCTGGGATGACAGTTATTAAGTCGGAGTTGCAAAAGGGTTTTCCCAAGAGTTCCAATCTCCTCCCTGCTCTGCGACCAACCAGTATGGATTAGCCAACTGGCTTTCTTTTTTAGCACTCGCCCACCTTCTGGTATCCAGACAATGTACTGGTGGGACGGAACGTCACCAAGAATTGAATTGCCTTGACTACGGGGATGGATCTGCAATGGCCGGGTCCGCTGACGAAGCGTTTGAGGCTTTGAAATGACCATGCCCAATTTGCATGCATGGCTTTATCTAGCGTTATGTACATAGAACCGTATCTCCTATCTCCATTCGAGAGGCATTCATCAAATGAAACCCCAATTCACCAAAACCGATACAAATCCTCCGTCTCCGAGCTGTAAAACGGCGAAATCTTCAACCGCCCACTAGAAACCACATCCCTATTCACCCTCTCCGGAGGAGTCCACACAACCTCCGGAGCGTTCGTCCTTGGCCGAACAAACCCGCATCCAGTATCATCCCTACAACAAACCAACAAAAGATTCGGTCTCGACCCCTCCCGTATACAAAGCCCAGAACCAGAACCGGAACCAGAACCAGACAACCCAATAGCAGCCCTCGCCCTCGTCGAAATACACTCAAATAACAACTCCGCATCATCCTGACTGCCAGCCTGATAAACCCCAACCCCCAAACAAGCCAAAGCCAACGGATCAGGCGCTCCCCACGGCGTAAATGAATTCCCAACATTATTCACTGCTATCACAGCATCTAGGCCATATTTCCGGATCATTTCTAAGATTTGTAACGTTCCCCTTGGTCGAAATTGAGGTGCAGTCTCGCTACCGTTACCACCTCCCGCCGACGCCATGTAAATATCACTCGTTGGTAACCCAACAAAACTAACAGGTAGATCGTTCTCATGGATATCGCGCGCAAGTCTGATCCACTCGTTCTCCGAGAGGAGTGTTAGTCTCGTGCAATGGCCAAGCATGACACGTTTGGTTGTTAAGCGGGTTGTCCAGCCTCGTTGTTTGAGGGTGTGGAGAACATGCCAGACGAGCGGTTCTTTGGTCGTGTCGAGGTTATAATCGAGATGGAAATCGAGATGTTTGTCCAATGCAAGGGCGCGATCAATCGCCCAGTCGATATTAGCCTTTGCAGCATCGATACTAGTCTCGACGTAGGGTGTTGTACCGAGAACGTCGATCTGGGGATATTTATCCAGAGCCTCGGATACGAGGCGCATATTCTGATCTCCGTATTCAGTAGAGAAGATAGGATCCTGGGCGAAACAGACGATCTGGATTTCGCAGGCTTGTTGCCATTTTTCTTTGAGTTCTGCTGCGGCTTCGAGGCAGATGTGCTGGACTGTATGGTCTACCTCTACGAACGTTCTCATTGCTGTTACGCCGGAAGCGAGGGACTCGGCGAGGAGCCATTCGCCTCTTTTAATTAGATCGGCGTGGTTGAATTGTTGTTTTGCTTTTGTTGTTGAGGACAGTGCTTCCTGGAATGTGCCTGTTGAGGGGAGGAATTGGGCATATTCGGGCGTGCTGTGTATGAATGCTTTGTCGAGGTGGATATGTGGATGGGTTAATGCTGGTAGGGCTAAGGGCGACTCGGTGGTGTGTGTGTCTTCATCTTCATGCGGGGTCACGGATGTGATTGTACCGCTGTCCGTGGGATATTCGATTTGGATGTTCCAGGTGGATGGCTGTCCGGCTAGTCGGACGCCGTTTATGCGCTGGATTTGACTTGTAAGTTTTGGAGGCATTTGGGTTGAGGGATATGTATTGGATAAGTAGAAAGTGGCTATTTTTGAAGCTTTCCCCGACACGGGCCCTCGGGGATGTCCGCAACGGTCACTTCCGAGCTTACTGATAACAATATTGAGTATGAGAGCTGGGGAAATCTTCAGTTGACTTGAGGTATTCGCTTCACAATTCGAGGGTATCATGTCATTTCGCTAGGAATGTAAATGCACAGCGCCAGAATGTATTCATGATAGATTCGAAAAAAAAATATGTTGTATACTAAGTTCTGGAGACGGAAAGTCGTATTTTTTGGCGGATTGTCTTGATGATACTCAAAATTGCATCTGCTGTCTCGGAGTGTTGTGCCCATAGCCCAATAGATTGTATGGCTTCCTTCATCAACTGATCAAAATCAAAGTCTGAGACGATCGCTTCCAGAGACGGGGTGCTTTTTGCTGTTGCCAAGGTGAAAATGGCAGCCAAGAGTCTGAGCAGACGGGTCAGTCTGAAAATAGCATTATAGGTATGTTGTAAAAGAAAAGGTCTTACGCTTGCATTCGCAACCAATTGGAATGGGTCCTCTTCTCGAGAAGAAGCGAAGCTGCTTCGACGAATTTGCGACAACTGGCAATACATTGTTTGCAGTTCCCGAAGACATAGTCAGGCAACACGTTATTGTCTTTGTTCTGAGCGGCATAAACAAGACTTGGCCGATAAATGATGTGTTTCGTGGCGTAATATCGCGCGCGAATGTAACTGTCGTATGCATCTTGATGAGACATTGGCTTTTTCAGGTCTGGTCGGATCTGCGGTGGCAAGGATTGGAACCATTCCTCGAGCTGACGATTCAGCTCAACACAAATCCTTTCCAGGGAAGCAATTGAATGCTTCTGGGGACGTGGGGTGGCAGACTGAGACTTTTGTTGCGATGGAGAGGCGGCAGCGTAGTTGTCCAGGAAAGTCGGGTCATATATCCAGGTGTGTACTCTGTTCAGCAGCTTGCGGATTGAACACATTGCTAGGAATACTAGATTGCTTCTTTGAGTGGGCTCGGAAAGTCGGGGGAAATGCATTCCTCCTTCGACTGATGGAGGGCCTTCGACGAGAAACTCGATTCCACTGCGAGGGAAGTTGAATTCTGCCAAATCGTCACTGGGGAAGTGGTTATTAGTTCGAAGAAAACAAATTCGAGGGGACCACCAACCATTCGAGAATATAGCAGGCCCAGGTAGTCCGAAAAAGGGTGTCATGTTCTCGCATCATAGGCTTGACGCTCAATCTATATCCAGTCAGAGTTTCGCAAGTATAGGCGAAAGAGGAAGGCGCACAGAGAATGAAGCGACTTGACCGCGGTAGATGCATCCGTTATCATATTAGACGCCTGGAACGGGCGTCCGATATAGCGGAAATACAACGAGGCGTAGACAAAAGCCAACGGCACAAAGGGGCTGCGGTTCATAGGCAGGAATGCCGACCACCGGTTCTTCAGCTCATGATATGCCGGAGCAAAATATTCAATTCCATTCCGATCATCGGCCGCTTCGATATCAAAAATGTGTTCGGGATTCGAGGAGACTTTGCCCAACGCAATAATAACCAGGCAAAGTATTGTTTGGATACTATTGCCTCTTGGTACTAAAGTGAAGTTTTCGTAGACTGTGCGCAACGCTAGAGGTTCCATCAGAGGGAAAAATGCATGCACGTTTGTCAAGAACTCGTTGAAATACGGCTCTGTAATGCGTGTTTGAAAAAGGGTAGGATCGATCTGGTCGAAGCTTTTATTCACGCTTTTGTCCTCAAACTTGGGTAGGCGGGTTGATTCCAGCTGCATGAAGAAATCTTGAGGGTATTCGCCAATTAGGTTCTTGATTCGGTCTAAAAAGAACAATCTTTCTGTTGGTGTTGAGTGCCCCAGAGGAATTGGCAAGGGCTCTTCATGGTTTTGTTGCGGAGGAAGGCTGATTGAAGACCTGTCGTGGTATGTATTGGCAGGCGACGGGTACCAGTTGTATCGCGGCTGTGCCAAATGCGCCGACACATTTGGCAAAGAAATCAACGGATCGGCTTGAGGAGAGGAAACTTGCGATGTAACTCGCGTGGAGAGCTCGGCGATTGCTTCTTTCTGTTGCTGCAGAAGGGTCTCCATGTGACTTAACCGAAGCAAGATTTCCGCCGGAATATCCTGCACCCTATTTATCGTTACTATCCATGATTCGCGAGAAGGCCGGTTCATTTTCTACCTGTCACTTTCTTGGTATTCGCACTGGGCGCCAGCATCGGCGCAAAGCCCACACGTTGGCTTTTGGCCATCACACTTGCGCTTCCTAGTTGAACTCAATAACCATGTGATCAAAGTCAGAGTTCACGACCTACCGATGGCGACAGAAGTTACATGCAATTGAAGCACGCTTTCGAGGGTATTCAACGGGAGCGCGGCCCTCAAACGCCTTCATTTTGGGAAGATCGACGTGAAGAAGTCCAGTGCGGGGTTGAGGTGTCAGCAAACAAAAAAACTTCGTCTCTCAATAATCCACTGTGGCCCTGAAGGAATATGATCGAGACACTCTGAAGAATCAGATGTTCTCAGTCAGAAGCCTCTTGGACTCCCCTTGGTCTGGGCGCTTAGGATGCATGAATGGCTCTTCGGATAGCGTCTCTCTGCGCTGGCGCTGCTCCACCCACGAATCCCAGTCACATCTCCGGACTCCGCCTCAGAGACTTGCCCTGATCTTGAAGCCGGATTCCTTGGGAACATTCCCATGTAAAAGGAACTGGGTATCAAAGGCTGTATAGGAGACACAGCGCTTCGTCTGTCTATACAATGAGGGCCCGACGCATTGGTGATTGGTCCGCATGTGGCCAAAGCTTTGGGGCTGTTTTACCCTGTTTGTGTTCAAGCAAGTCATCGTTATGTCTGGCGTCCCTTCGGTCACTTTTCGTTGGCAGTTTGCGGTCGGTGGTTGGCTTTCTCGGCCGCAGTATATCCTCCACTACCGGATGGGTCGACTGGCCTGGTATTGGTATTTAGTTTTCCAAAGTATGTGCAGTGTCAGGAGACTCACTGGAAGACCTCATGGTTAAAAATCAGTGTAGTAGGGGTAACAGCCATAATCGCAGCATCAAGAACCCCAAGCTACGTATGTCCAAGTTCGCTCCCGCCGACCAAACTTTCCAACATCTCTCAAAAAAGAGGACAGGCAGATGTTCTTATACTGAGACCCCCGGACTCCATGGTGCTTTGGCTGAGAAAATGCGATCAGACCTTTGGCTTATCTCGCACAGGGTCAGAGCAACTCTTGAAGGGGGTTTCCCCTATTATATGCTCTTACCAAATAGACCTTTAGCTAGAGAGGACGCACCAAAGCTTTCACGCTTCGGCGGATGGGCGGGTTACGGCCCTGCAGGCTTACTTCAAGGAGCCAATGAACAAGGTTTGCAGCGGGAAAAGCGCCTATAAGGACCGCCAGCCCGAGATTAAGTTCCTGGGTGGATTTGGGTCCTGCAGGGTATCTATCAGCTGACGCAATTGCTGCATGCTCGTGGTCGTACTATATAAATGATGCATCAGGCTCTATATATACCGTTTCTTGGGCATTGGTCTTCAAGTTGGTTGAGACATCAGAAAGTAGACTATAACTTGCTTCCTGGTATAATCAGATATAGTTCAAAGCAACCAAAGTCAATATTGATCTATCTCAATTTACACTCACTACATATAGGGTCAAGACTGCCTAGATATCCAATAACACACTTTAAAATGATCCAAATTGTCAGGTGCTACTAGAAAAGCTGTTCCTGTAATAATCTAGACTGAAACATTGCCAAATTGCTCCTATAAAGCATATGGCGGCCCTTTCCTCCTGGTCTATAAGCAGGGCCGACCTCATCCCTTCCAAACGTGAACTCCTCCTTCAGCATGCCTCCTGACTTCCATACCCCATCATAATTATCATCTCCTCCATTATTCTCCGTCCGCCACTGTCTAACCACATCCCCACAATCATCTAAGAAAATATGCAACAACCCACCCCCATCAAGAGTAACTTCATCTTCAACATGAAGATGCGTTATTACACAATACCCATGATACCTACCATACCTCCTCACCTTACATTCTCATACCCCTTCATCTTCCACATCACTATCCGCCAAAAATTCCCTCAACTCCCTCAAAGCTTCATCCCACTTCTTAAAATAACGTTACGCATCGTGATGCTCATTCGTAACCCGTTCAGAAAACAACTCCAGCGCACGATCTAGATCAATTCCAACAAAAATCTCTTTATCATCCAGGAATATCCCGTCCGGACCGACGAAATCAGAGTCAACGTTCTCGGCCCAAATAGCTTTATGCTGTTCTGCATGGTGGAGAACTCACAGTCTGCTGTTTAGGGTTAGGATGGCTCGGATTTTCCGATACCAACTTGAACTCTTCATATAAAAAGTGTCCAATGATGGGAGAAAGGTATTAGGACAGTCAACTCCATAGCTGGAACTTCAAGTTGCTCTCCTAGACGTACTGCCATTGGATCATAGCAAACCCACACCGCAAGGCTCGATATGCCGCTTAGCCAAAGCTACATCTAAAGCAATCAACTCCTCCGCTATAGCATTAAAGCGTGGAGACAAGTGCTTTCAGTCAAACGCGGTTTGGTTGCCTGAGTGTGATGCCAGAAGTGAATGAAGCTTCCCAGTGCAAACACATGTTTCTGTCGTCCATATGGGGATGTGCCTCTCTTCTTTTCCCACCCTTCAACTCTCATCTTCCTCCACTTGCTTCAACATCTTGCTGTCATCTGTTACTCTCCTACCCTCTCTTTTTTCATCATGTCAGAGACCACTCGCTCCATTCAGCCTCTGACAGCTACTCAGCGTGCCCTCTCGCTCGCTGAGATCGTGGGGCTTATCATCAGCTGCATGCCTCGAAACGGACCCGGATGGGGACACGACTTACTCTCATGTGCTCTAGTAAACAAGCTCTGGCTCGAGGATTCGCTATCAATGATGTGGAGATCCATTCACAACGATCATCGCCCCCTGGATGATGGTTACGAGAACCCCGGGATCGACATCACATTCCTGGAGATCCGTTACGATCGCCGGCAATTCTATGCCAACTTCGTGTGTTGCGCAATGATCAATCTTCTTGATGATTCATGGGAGGGGGAAGACCCGTGGGCAGAAGGGGGAGAATTTGAGGGCCTCGTATTTCCAAAGATGACCGTGCTTCATGTTATGTTGACAGACATCGACGGAATGCTTGCTACCGGCTCAAACACGTGCGATGGGGAGGCATTACTTCCCTCTTTGAACTGTCCCAACCTTCACACGATGAGCTTCGAAATGAATGACACGAACCTGGTGTCATATGAAGTGGCTGCAGACACGTGGGAGAGCATTTTCTGGGATCTTCCGGTAAATTCTATTCGTGTTATTGTGCTTATCGTCACTAACTCCCCTTCAACAGACAAAGTTTCCCAGCCTCCAACATCTGGATATCAATGGCCACGCACACATCTTTCCCAATGCATTACGACGACTGCAAAAGCGCCACCCCAACCTGCAGGGCCTTGAATACCTGGACATGCATGAGATCCGCCGTTTCTTGTCAGAGTCCGAGCTCGCTGAACTTGATCCGATTGGGGTGATCCATGATCTAATGGATAACGAAGACATGGACTTAGATGATGATCCCGACTCGGGCGAAGAATTCACCGAAGAACTGTGGGAGGATGACGACGCAGAGTATGGCAATGGAGATGACGAGGATTATGTGGAGTGAGGTAGTATTGAAAACCAAGGGCATGCCCAGCAGAGGCCAAAGGAAACACATAGGTATCACATAGTATTAGTCTAGCACAAAATTTGATGATATCACAAGCGAAGCTCTCGGCGCAACGGATCTTTCATCTTGTTGACCCATTTCTTGCCTTTATCTACTTCTCTCTCTCACACTATTTCTCTCTCTCTCCCTCCCTCTGTCCGCCTCTGCCTCTCTCCTGTTTCCTTCCTCTTCTCGTGTTCCCTATTTGTATTTCTCAAATTTCTCTTTTCCTTCATCTTTTCCTGTTAACATTCTTTCCATCTGTTGCTAGTCTATCATTTCCAGCTACCGACACATGTCTCAAGCATCCGCTTCTGACGATTTCGCTAAGGCGATATCACTGACTACCACTCATTAGCAATAGATAGGAGAGAAATTATCATTTGTGGACAATGAAAAGCTATTCATTCTACTTTATCAGAGAAGCCCAATATCCAGAGAATGTAGTGATGCTTCTTTCAACATGTAATATATAGCGACAAAGAGAGTTTGGTTTCAAGATGATACCTTTCTCTTTTAGGACGAGACAAGAGAGAAACCAATAAAAGAGTACAGAGTACAAAGGTACAGAAGACAGAAACAAGGGCGTAGGAATAAGGTTTCATTTTCGGGGATGCTGGTTGGCTGACTAGGGTTGGGTGGGAATGAGCTAAAGCACTGAAATACCTCTGAATTATGCAAATAACCTATGAGAAATTATTTTTCAGGCCAAAATGTCCACCAAATCCGACTTTTCGGCCCCTGAAGTTTTGAAATTGTAACCTACGAGAAAAAGAAAACCAGAATACTCCAATATCAAACTCTATCTCTGAAATAAGGTCTTGAGGTCCAAATATTGTCTTAGCTGGGCAAGATACCTTCCAAGGTTGTGAGGCTAAACATGCAGCAACAGATCAACAAAAATCCATTGGAAGCCTCGCAACGCAACGCATCTCGTCACCTAATTCATATATCTTGACACTATATACTCTCGTCTTATAGACAAATCTACACGTAAATCTGTATTAAAAACAAAAGAAGAGAAGAGAAGAGAAGCAATATATTCAATGACATACAAAACAACACTCGAGTCTACCATATATAGAAAACCCTTGTATAAACTCTAAATGTCCAAAAAGACCAAACCGTATATCCCGTAGGAAAAGCAAGACCAACACCTATACCAACACCAAAAGCAACCCCCAATGCCAATGCCAACTCCTCTTACAACGAATATTAGATGAGACGAGATATAAAAGCAATCCATAACAACAGATAGCGTGATATCCACTTCAAATCTCAAATCTCAAATCTCAAATCTCCTGTGCATCCAACGCCCACACCTCCCAATGTTGCAAAACCTCCCATCCAACACGGCGCATACGCCGTCTCCAAATAAAACCATCCTCGGCCATCGAATAATGACTTGGTCCGAAAGAAGGCGTATCATCACGGTCTTGGGGGAAATTAACTGTCTCTGGGCCATGAGACTGTTGTCGTGGTGTTGGGGTGGGATCCTCAACGTCGTGGTCACGGGATCTTTTGCCCAGTGTTGAAGGTGGTTGGAGTGGTCTTGCGACTGGTGAGGCGCTTGCAGACCAAGAGTCCAGGCGTGGTGTTTGTATACCGGGCGATCTCTGTGTAGTGTAGCCTGGATGGGTTGAGGGACCACCGTTGACGTTGACGTTGACGTTGACGTCTGGGCTTTCGGTGGGTGCGTATTCGCCATTTTGTGGAGATTGGTGTTCGGTGTTGTCGGGTTGTGGTTGTGGGATGGGGGCTTTGTAGCATTCGCGGATTTCCCAGGCTTTCCAGCCTAGGCCGAGGACTTTGACGTTGCCGTAGATTGGTTCGTTTGCGAGGTCGTAGCTCATTAGGTCTGTTAGGACTGCGTCGTCCATGTCTACTAATTCGGTGAACGACTTTACGTTTGCGATGGTGTTCTGTAGTGACCTGCTGAGGCCGAGGGAGGATTCGCCTTGTGCGGATTTTGAGATTCTGAGGGCTGTGCCTGGTGGGGCGTTTTTAGGTTGGCCGGATGACGGGGGAATGAGAAGTCGGAGGGCTTTTAGTTTTCGGAGAAAGGGTATTAGTAGGCCCAGTGAGTCCATGCTGGTAAATTCTGTGGCGAGAGCCAGCTGCTCCAGGTTCGGGCAGCTGTGGACGAGACGCCCGACCATGCCTGTTGAGAGAGGCCATTTTGAGGGTAGGAGGAGGTGGCGTAATGTTGCACCGTGGTTTACACTGATATGTGAAAGATAGACATCGCGAAGGCTGGATGTCGCAGTCAGTTGGCTTGCTGGGGAAACCGAAGTGATAGGTGAATTAGATGTAGTTCCATTCGCCGCGCCATGCGGTTGACTGTCATAGATCGGCGGTGTGAGTGCGGATGAAGAATTCCCTCCCTGTCGGGGAGAATTGAGATAATCACTCGAGGCGGAGGTGACGTTCACAAAGTACAACCGTTCGAGGCCCTGGAAGTTGCCAATAAACTCCGCATTCCGCTTTGACACAGTATCCATTCTGACAGATTTCACTCGGAGCTTGGCATGCGGTGGGACAGTAGGCCAGCTGTTCTCCATGAACGTGTTGGCTAGACTAGACCCTTCAACGCCAGTGAGGAAAGTAACATCCTCAACGGTCGTCGGATCAAAAGCGAAATTGAAATCCTCAGTATGGAAAGCATAAAGATTCTGAAAGGACATCTTCTTAACCGCCAACGGCTGCTTGTTCACAATAAGCTTGCGGAAGTAATCATGAAGCGAAACACTCGGCTCCTGAGCATCACGCATCCGCGGCGACCAATGCAGCTTCAACTCGCGCAACTTACGACTCTTCCAAAGCATCGTCGCGATATCGTCCGGATAACACAAAGGATCGATATCAGTAATCTTCAAACAGCGCAAATGCGGCATACCCGGAAGAACAAAGGTAGGCTGCGGATGACGGCTGGAGGGGAAGCGAATGGTCAAAGAGGTAAGCTTGGGCATCTGCGTCAAGCCTGTAAACACCGTATCCAGCATCTTGGTATTTAACTCCCAGTGGAAGCTTTCCAGATTGGTCATGCGATCGATCGCGGCGCGGACGGCGATATTCAGCAACATCGACGAGTCCGGCACGCGCCCGACTCGCGCATGTTCTTCCAGTTCGTGGTCGCTCCATTCGCCGCGCAGTGTCATTGATCGCACTAACGACCCATACGGCCTTGTAATCACCGCGTTCAGGCCCATTGTGAAGGGGCTTCCACTGCCAATTCCTTCTGGCTGGTCATCGCGATAACGGATTTTGTCGTAGGAGGTCAGCGTTAGGCTGCGGTAGAGTTGTGGTAATGCCATGTAATTGAGGACGCGGCATGTTCGGCATAGCTGGGCGAGATCGCCTGTGTCTTCGACCTGACACTTCTGTTAGAGAGAGCTCTTGCGGGGATGGTTGCGTCAGTGCTCACATGTGATACGATCTGGGCGATGAGGTTCAACGGGAGAACCATCAGCGAAGCACCGCCGGGCGGTTCTGCGCCTATGCTGGCTCCGAACATGTTCTGGTTGACGGTCGCCATGATGCGACGTCCATGACTGAAGTATGGGGAAGTTCGGAGCCTCGAGTTCCCGAGCGAAATTTCGGGCTCCACTCTCGTATGCCAAGAAATGGCCGAGCCAAACAGAACAGCGGGAGAGTAATGGCACTACTGTACGGAGTATAGGCAGTATATACTTGCAAGGCTCGATTATTGTTGGGTATCTTTCTACTAAATTTTCCTTATAACACCATCCAAAACATCCAAACTCCCTAGCCCAAAATTAGAACGCCAAAACGGTCAGGGGTACTCAGCCACGGTATGCCAAGCATCCCGAAATCATTATCCCTGCCAAATTGTGATTCATGAGGTCTCAGTGCTCTTCACTAGGCCTGTGCTCCGCATCTGTTAGTTGTTGCGGTGTATGTGATTCAACGTGGGACTGCACAGTAGGTGCAGTCGGCACATCGTTCCTCTCGTCAGAATATGTCGTTTCGGTCCAGCTGCGCTGGTCGAAATTGGCAGCGTGGCTATCGTGAGCCAAGTGGCTGATATCCTCGTTGACCAAAGCCGCGGTTTCAGGATCGTAGTGTAGGACGTAGTCCCCGCCTCCTCGCTCCACATCAGCGTCAGTCCATGGAGCAGAGGCCTGTGGTTGCGAGGGGATGACCCGGACTGGTAGATCCGGTCGAGTTGATCGGCCAGGGGGAGGCTCGGGCCGACTGGTGGGCGTTTCGCGGGGTGTAGAGGGCTCTAGCAGCCGGTTCTGGGGTGACCATGTATGTTGGCCACGACGGCGGGCAGGAATGACAGTCACGGGGAGGGAATTGTCAGCATTGAGCGAGCCGGATCCTGGTCCTTTGCGATGTAGAGAGAAGAAATGATCGGCTCGGAACCGGGCAGCATGTGCCTCTGTCTCGGCTTCTTCGGCCAATAACGACACCGACGGTCTATGTTCAGAAGGCTCTTCTCCAGCTTGTGCAAAGGCGACTTCTTTTGGCAGCGATGCCCGTCGCCGCTTGAATGGGTTGAGGAGAGCGCGCCATCGAGGATCTGCTTGGACGATTTGCGGTGATTGCTCTCGGGTATCTTCGGCGGATAGACCATGCTCAGTCGTATCAAGGGCTTGTCTGCCTTCTTCAATTTCCTTGGTTTCCTCCAGTTCCTCCTCCTCATCCATGTGTGGCATCGCGACGGGAGGTGTAGGACTGGCCACTGGATGATATCGCACATTATATACTGTGCTCGCCGCACTGGTAGTATCAGCCCGGCTAACCGGCGTGATGGCTGCCGGGGGTGGTGTAGGACGATTGTTTGGATGCCTCGGTGGTATACCAGCAGCGGGGTTGTTTGCTGGAGCTCCGGCGCCTCTGTTTCGGTTGACGCGAGGAAGTCCAGCTCGAGCTCGTAGCGGTCGATGTGCTAGACCCATCATGCCGCCCCATCCCGAAGATGTACCGCCACCACCGCCTCTGTCATGTCCTTGATGCGGATATCGCGGCCAATCGACTTCTTCAGACGGTGTAACCTCAAGCATCTCATCACCGTCGAACACTTCTCGTCCCAAGATTCCATCCTTCGCTTCATCTCGTTCCAACGCTTCAATGCGTTCCACCCACTCCCACACCACCACACTGGCCGCAGCAGATCCAACCCATCGAATATAAGTACCCCACCCAGCAATCTCCGGTCGAGCAATATCCAGAACAAAGAATACCACAGGTATCAAAATAGCACAAAGCGACAGGAGAGCCACTAAGCATATATTCCGCATCTTGGGATGAAAGAAGGCGTAACGATGCTTCGAAATCGAGTAGAAAATGACCCAAGCAGCATAAAGCAGATTGAGCGACAACTCAAACAAATAACTCAAAGCAGGAATTGCATCGTCGTATAATCGCGGCCGTGTCGATGAACTCCGAACCAAAAAGTTCTCCAATATACTGAAAGTCGTATCGAGCACGATCAACGCAAACCCAGCCCACTTGATCATGACTTTCTCCTTATGTCGCGGAAACAATCGAATCAACGTCTGGACTTGCGCAAGCCAAAGAAACGTGCTGGAAATCACTCGCACAATGCGAATTTCTAACCCGTCAATCACTTCCTCGGAAAGAGCTTCAGCATCGGAAAACCCATAATCGTACTGTCGCTCTGCCACTCTGAAGGAATCGACCGTGGCAATCGTTAATGATATCGCGACTAATATCGCAGCAACTTTCTGCAGCCATGGTCGTCCGCCGACTCCTACAACTGACGAATTCCCGCTGTATGAACCGCTGATCATCCCATGTCGTCCGAGGAAATTGGCGCCACCGCCTGGTCCACCGACGTAGAATGTTCGCGGGGTAATGAGAAGGATAATAACGAGGAGATAGCTGACGACAGTCGCGCATCCGATAGCATACAGCTGTGGCGTAACAGAAGAGTAGAATGGATCACGGGTATCGAGAGCGGCGGAGACGTGGACGTCATCGGTAGGCGAGCCTGTACAAAGGGGCTCAAAGACGGCGTTTTCAGTGAGTGTCACAGCGTATGACTTGTTGTAATAGACGAGTCCTGTAGAAATTGTAACTCTTGATTAGACACGGTTCTAGGGAGGCGGGCAACATCCACCAAGGATCAAGGGGGGTATAAAAAGGGACACAGCCTACCATCGCTTGGCAAGACAAACGGCGTACAGCCTGGGGAGTAAGTCCTCGTCGTACTGGTCGTCGGGTTCGCCCATATCTGGCGGGGGAGTATCCGGGTCGCATGTTCCATGATCGGGCTCTAGGGAATCGTCTCTCGTTCGTTCCCTCGAACAGTTCATATATGCAATTTCCACCGGCCCCTCCTGTGTCACATTCGTCGGGCTTTTTTTCAGGCTTCCATTCTTGACTGGTTTTGAGCCGCGCGTACGGTGCAGGTCCGAAGACTGGGGGAGTGGCGGGGAGGGGGTCGATTAAGGTTGAGAGGGAATCGCAGAGATGACTGTGTATGTCACGGGAGACGATTATTGTCGTACCGAGAATAGAGTGAGGAAGTGTAGAAGTGAAGAAGTGAAGACTGGGGCAGTGTCAGGAGAGGTGGAAATCTTGGAGTCGAGGCCGATCCGCCCCAGACTCGGCATTGGCTCCACAGGTTTTAGTGTGGAACTGCTTCTACTTCAACGCCTACAGTGAAGCAGCAATAGTGTTGACACCCTTTGATTCCTGAGATTCTGCCGGTTAAAAGTTTGATTTTTCAGACACATCTAGACTGGTTCCTGATAAAACACTTAACTGTTGTGGATTAGGTTGAATCTTGTCTTTTATAAAAAGCACTCACTGAAGCAAAAACGGTTAGCAAGTAAGATGATATAGACTTGCTCCTCGGTTTGCGATAGGCGTTGCAAAAAAAGGTCTAAAAAACGGTCTGTCCAATGGTGTTAAAACATTTGCTGTGTCACTGTACTTGCTATGGACTACTTATGAGGCTCTACAAATACTTCATTTTTCATAAATCTCACGGTTTTACAATGCACTTCTTTGCACAGACATATACAAGCTAAGCCAAATCAAGGTCAAGCCAGGGTCATATTCACAAGCTAGCACGCAGCGCCAAACTTGAACTATATCGCGTCTCACATCACTCTCTGTACAACATTCGTCTTATATATACCATGTCACATTCACAGCCTCAGATGCATGATTTACGCCTGAGCGGCAAAGCCGAGGCGGGGGCCCTGGGAGTCGAAAACGACATACTGGCTCTTGAGGAAGATATCACCGAAGATGGAGAAGCCAATGCCGGAGTTGCTCTGGATACCACCGTAGCAGGTGGAGCTGCCAGTGGTAACCTGGGCGTAGTTGATCAGCTTACCGGGGACAACGGCATTGTAGCCATTGATGGTCACGGTGAAGTCGGGCAGGGTGGCGGAACAGGGGAAGACGTAGCCACCGTAGGAGTTGCTGTCCTGGGAGCCGGAGACCTTCTTGTAGTAGGCGGACACAACGCTGGTGGGGAGCAGGAGGAGGGTGGTGCCGGTGTCTAGATTCGATGTTAGTTATGGATATGGGGCAATTGGGATTAAATGGAACGATGACTTACCAGCAATACCGGTGATGGATCCGCCAGTGGTGGTGCCAATCTTGTAGCTGTCGGCAGTGAACGACCAGAAGCCCTGGGAGTCATCGACGTCGGCGTAGGCCAGGGTGCCGGTGTACTTGGACTTGTCAATGTAGCCAAAGTCGTAGCTGCCGGGAGCATTGTGCTTCAGGGTAACAGCAAACAGGGGCGAGTCGAGCTGCGATTTGACAGTGTCGAAGAAGGTGGTCTGAGCCTTCGGGCTAACCGTGTTGATGGAGCTGAAGGCGAGGCCGAGCAGACCGTCGTTGTTCACATCCTGCTGGAACGAAGAGCTAATTTTGCTGGCAGCCTCGACAGCCTGGCCGGTAGCCTTGACACCGCCAACGGTGACAGTGTCTTTGTAGACATCACCGCTAGCAGAGCTGCCATCACCGTAAGAGATGGACCAGGAGCTGCCTGACAGCTTGGTGGCACTGCTGCTAGGCTTGTAGATGCTGTGGCCGCTCTGCTGGGAAGAGGTGAGTTCAGAAGAGAACACCCACCTAAGGGCTGTTAGCTGTCATTCTTCTCCATTTAGTTTGATCAACTTACAGATCAGCAGATCCGGTATCGAAGTCCAAGTTCAGGGTAGTGCCGCCAACGTTGACGGGAGTCAAGTACTCGACATCGCCGTCCTCGGGGGTAGTCACAGCAGAGCCACTGACAGCAGCAGCGTGGACATTGGAGGGCACAGTAGCACCATACTTGGACAGGGCTTGGGCATAAACAGCTGGCAAGTTGACAGTCTTGGACTTAGTAGCAGCACGAGTCTCCTGGTTAATAGTGAAGCCCTTGCGAGGAGCTACAACAGGAGAAGCAGAAGCAACAGCCGAGAGACCAGCGAGGACAGCAGTGACCTTGCTAAAGACAACCATGATGGGACGTATATATAAGAATGAATGAATCTAGTAGAGCGAAGCGAAGGCGATGCTGAGTAGAATGAACCCCCAAACCAGCCGGCGACGAGGGGATACTTTATAGTCATTGTCTCTGCTCCATCCGAAATATGAGATAGGAGAGATTAGAAGGCATCAACGGTGCCCTCTATCGCAACAGAAGGAGATGTTTCTTTTCCTGGAAGTTCGACACGGCGATCCCCTCGATGCAGACAAGCCAGGAACTAGACTTTCGAAATTATCAAGGACACCATCGGCCATCCAGGATGGCACGACGGAGTCCGCCAAGCAGACTGAGGAGAAAACATCCCAATCGAGTATAGAACGGGGATTGAGTGAAGCCATACGGGGTCGACAGGGATATTTGATAGGGCTAGCGCAAATGCGCGGGGTTGCAACAAAGGCGACATGCCCAGGGAGCTTGGTCGTGACAAGCTAATCTTGGACGGAGATGTCCGGAACAGGCGCAGATTGCAGGTGTGTGCATGGAGTGCATGTGGCCATTCGCACGAGGGAAGGCCATTGCCAAGGAGTGATCTGAAGTGAAGCGATGAAGCAGTGTAGAGATGATCGAGCCCTGAAGATCATCGTTATCTACTTGACAGCCAATCAATTGTTGCAGGGCGCAAGTAGACTTCCCACCAATTTGAATATGGTCACATCGCTTCATTCAGGGTCAAGTCTTGGCTGAGTGATTGGATGATCTCCCCTGAGTCCTGGACAGGGGTTGAGTATAGTGAGAGCGGAAAAAACACCAACCGGGTGCTTCAGCCCAATTCTCCGCATCTCAAACAATCTCCGACGGGCATCCGTCCCTGCATATTCTGCTGGATTTGAATCTGAGCTAGGGGGTCCCCGATGTGACCCTTGACGGAGTAACAGGCAGTCGTTATCGCATGGAAGATGTTGACGGCCGCTAGATCCTTCGATGCGGTGATCACAGACAATCACTCCTAACTCGAGAGATCGTCGGATCGGCAGTATACACCTGCACGCCTTGGATCAGCACTAGATATGCATGTTGTCAGGAGTGTACTCCGTTGGTGCCTTGCCCAGGTGGAGGTTCGTGAGCACGCAATGAATCTGATGGGCTGAGTTGGACAAAGTACCTAGGCAAACTCGACTGGAGTTATTCTCTACTTCTTTCAGTTTCAACTATGGACTACGATTTTAGCGTCTCCAATACAACATACACTGTCTAGCTCTTTGCATACAATGGCATACAGCAACCAAGCAAGCAAGCTGCCAGCCACCCGAAAGCTTCACCCAGATCAAGCAACAGATGCTTCCAGAAGCACATGAAGCCAAGTCGAAATGAAACCCCGCATCCGACGGAGACCGGTGGGAGAAAACAGTTACAACCTCCGAAAACACTATATCTACTATAGTAGACATACGGCTAATCTCCATTGCAATAAAGAGAGTTTCAAAAAAATTACACGGACAATTACAGCCCGAAGACAGCCAAGGAGCGCCAAGGAAGGGTATAGAATTTTGATCGGATACGAATAAACGCCCCTTGTGATCTCTGAAAACCAAATTAAAAGACCTCGTGATAATCAGATAATCATGTCGTCATGAAATCATGAAGGTATGTACTGAGATGAAAGTCCACCCGATTCACCCTCGCCATTCGCATTCCCATCATAGCCCTCATTGAGAAGGACCTCGAGCATGTCAAACTCGCCAAGCATAGGCCCCGTCCCGCCAAGACCCTGGTCAACAACCCCAGTAGAGCTATTGAAGAATTGATCCAGAGGCAGGGCAAACCAATCCGGAAGTGCGCCGGAGTTCGCATGGCTGTCGCTCATGGGCTGTGAAGAGGGGACATGGTTCGGCGATGATCCGTCCATGTCGTTGGCAGGAACTGCAGAGTTCGAGTCGTAGTAGTTGTAGTAGACGGACGGCGGAGGCGGCATGAAGGAGACGTTATGGTTGGACGAGTTGATTGGCTGCGCGGGGATACTCGCCAGTGGGTCGTGGCCTGATCCCATCGGGTGCCCTGCGGCGCCGTTGTCTACATACCCTAGACCCGACCCACCTGGCGTTGTATCTTGACCAGGGGTTGTGGACCAGCCTGTGTGCGGCCCATCGCGGCGAGATGCTGTGCTCTCACGCGGTGGGGAATGGGCTCGAGAGCCGGGAACTGAGGTGCGGTCGTGGCTGTCGCCTTCTGCGCCGCGGTCATGGGGTGCGAATCGGAGGAAGCGAGTGCGGATGCTGCTTGTGAGGAGCTCTAGTAGTCGCGCTACTGTGTTGCTCAGGTGCACGTCATCTACAACGTAATTGCGTAGTGCCTCCACCGTCCGGTCTTGCAGGTCCAAGGAGACTCGCACATCATCTTCTCTAGCGCCTAGTGTGAAGGTCTAAGTCTGTGTTAGCGTTTGCTTTTCGCAATTGCTGTATGGGGGCCATACCTTCAAGATAAAGATCATGCCAGACAAGATCCGGAAGAAGGTCCGAATGGGTGCGTGTCTGAGCCGACCTTCTGGAACGAGGCCTTCCAACACTGTCGTCAAAATCTTGCGCGATGAATCAATAACTTCCTGGATGTAATGCTCATTGACACGGTACAGCTCCATCAACGTCTGGAACCAGCCACTGCTATTGGATGGCCCCGAGCCTGGCCGTCCCACTTGGGATTGAGCAGACTCATTGGACATGGTAGTCCATCGATCAACGACAGCTTGCAGTGCAAGAGAATTAATGTAAAGACCTGTACATCATTGTTAGCTTTTTAATGTGTAGCTTCGTAGGAGTCGACTTACGAGTATATTCCACTTCAATCAGCAAGACACTCCGCATAGCCGGCGACACTGCCATTTGTTAGTTTCGCTGCAAGGCCAAGACTCATCCAACTTACGGTTAACAACACTGTCAAGTTGCTGCCGGAACTCGCGTAGATATGGCTGGAACCTATCGATTTGATCACGGTACCGCCCAGTTCGAATCAACTCCATCGTTTGATCACTAGACGCAAACAATAAATGGTTGGCCTGGTAGACGATCTTCGAGACGCTAATCCAGCAGTCCTGCATCTGATCGATATTGGTATCTCCGTCCTGTGCATCGGTGGGAATCGGCGTGATATCCTGCCCCCATTGAGGCAGGGGAAGCATAGACGGAATACCTAGACGGCCACTGCTGTGTGTGATGAAGACGAGAATCAATCGACGCAGTCTGCGTTTGCGAGTTTGCTCACTCGGGGACTCGCTGGCTACTTTTGGCTCTCCTTTAGGATCGAAAACACCGAGTTCAAAAGCAAGAGCTTGCGCTGTACTCAAAAGCATCCATGACATCCGATCTGACCGCCACGCTGGCTCCAGCCATTTTTGGAAAGCAACTCGTCCTTCTGCGCCTCGATTTCCGGTGTTTTCGTTTTCATGATCCAGGTTCTCAGCTCGACTCTGGGTCTGAGCATCCGTATCTAAAAGCGAGTTCTCATCGTCACCGGGTGGGAAGTGAAGATTCCGTGGGTGCCATTCTGTAAGCAGCAGCATAGCCTCAACGGTCCCCAAAGATCGCAGCTGTCCTTTCGCGCCAGACTTTCCTCCTGATGCTGGGGCACCCAAGTCGAGAGACCGAGGCCGCCCAATGCCCACTGTCCCAGCATCGAATTTTTCTTGTCCCCAAAATAGGCGTTCAATCATACTGCGCAGATATGCCCAGAGACGATCGTGGATATAAAACGCTCGTGTGTTAGCACCGTCACCTTTTGGCTTCAAATGCCGCGAGGCGATCGTGAGGATTGTAACAGCCAACACCGGCTCATCGGTGAGCAATGTGCGATGGGTGGACGGGTGAGAGAAATCCGGAATCACCACCGGACTCATCGGCGCGAGGTTTTCATAGTAGTATGCGACATAGTCCATGCCCTCTTCCACAGTAAGCCACCCAGCGCGAACAAATCGCAACCGTGACCATGCCCGGATTGCATCAAGATAATCTTGCTCCTGGGGTTTATTGACCGGGCTCTCTCTTTGAGGGCCCGGTTCCACTATCTGAGGATCTACAGGCCCTGAAGCTCCAGCCGGGTAGTAAGTAGAGCCTCCCATGGACATTCCCGACCGGGGAGTCCGCACAAAGGAACCACCTAAGCTTCGCGGTGAGCTACCTTGAGGCAATGGCGAAGGTCCCGAGTTAAAAGAAGACACCGACTGCCGTGCAGCCAAGCGGTTCTCGAGGCTCTGGCGGTTGAGGTCCTCAGTCCTCCCCGCAGCCTCGGAAAGCAGATGCAGAGCGTCATGCGTGTTGGTAATTGCGGGCGACAGCAGCTCCACCGCCGTGCGGTTCATCATTGGAGGTCCTCCATAGCTAGGAGCTGGGGCGCGCTCGAGGGGATACGTGGGAACACGAGAGGTTGGGGCGCTGGGTGTGTACCGCTGCGTTGCAGGTGCGGGGGTTGCCTCGGGCCATCTCTGCTGAGTGCGCACGGCGTCGGGTTCAAATTGGGGTGGCTCGGATGGTGAGAATGAAGGGCCTTCACTGGTGCCTTCGACCTTGGCGACTTCCCCAATCATCATCCGCTTGTCGCGGTGAAGAATGGCTGGTGCCTCGCGTTCCTCGATGGCATCGGAGCCCTTGCGCTTGCGGCGAGTAGCTGAGAATTCGCATCGTTTGCTTTCGCGACGACATCGAACACATGGAGGGGGACGTGGGTTATCAACGCCTGGGAATTTATGGTTAGTCCAATGCCACAGAGTAGATCGGAGGGAGCGTACTTCCTAGGTCGCACTTGACCTTGCGTTTCCGGCATGGATCACAGGCCTGGTATCCGCGGCGATGGTGTGCATTAGGCGACGGTGACTTGCCGTACAGCCTATTGGTCTCGCTCATGGTGTTCGTGGATAACAAAATGCTGGGGAAAGCCGATGCAAAGCGAAGATAAGCCTGGAGGCGGGTCTTTGCTTAGATGAGCAACTCCGAGGGCTCGGAGAAAATGTAATGCAACATTAGCTAGGAAGAACTAGGAAGAATTCACGATATTTCAAGCTAATTATTTTCTAAGTTTGCTCCGGTCCGGTTCTGTTTCTATTGTATAATGAGAACTCGGCGGGGTAACGCGTGCATGAATCTAGGGATATATAAGCTACATTCTTATGCTTGGATGTCTACTAGAACTACACATAGGCTCAATACTGAGATGTAACAGTACTTCCGGTGCAAGCCGAGCAGTAAAAAGCAAAGACCAAGATGCTAATTTTCAACCAAACGGTCAATTCACAAATATACAAATATCGCTCCTCAAACACTTCTAAATGTGGACAGGGACTTTCTTGCCTCTGTCAGAAGTGAGGCTCATGCTCGCCAAGCTACCATTCATCTTGGATACTGACTCCCAAGCTTTGCGAGGCTGTACTAACTCACCAGAGGCAGCACTTTCCACACTGCCTCGCCGAGAGAGATTGGGTGTCATTCGTCCAGCAAGACCCCGAACACCGCCAGCTTTGCGTGCCGGAATCTCTGACGTGCCGGCTGTCAGAACATAAAGGAGATATTTGAGGTTGGCAAGGGTGTGGCGGATGTCCAGAATGCGCAACCCCTGCTTGTTGAGGAGATATTCAATGTCCTTGTTAAGGAGAAACACACCGTACTCGAAGCGGTAATGAACGCTCACCGGGTAGAGGGGGTAGGTGCGTTGCGGAAGAGAGGCGGAAATGGGGTCTTGAATGAACGAAGTGGACCCGTTCGCATTGATCGGGTAGGGGAGAGCCACCGACAAATAGAAGGAAAGCAGATACACCAGATGAGCTGCGTGGCCTAATGCCGCCGCGATCACCTCGCGGTCAGTGTCTTGAAAGGATGAGTTCGGGAGTGCTAAGCCAGCAATAGTGAAGGCCAATGGTTTGTCGGGGATGGGTTCGATGGGATAGATTGAAAGAAGGTCCTCCGAAATACGCCGGGTTTGTCCCTTGGTTTCCTCTCCTGTCTGGTTGAGCAGTTTTTCGCTAAAGACCAACTTCTCTTGGGCGTCAGGGAGGTGGCTGCGCGTCTTTTCCTGCGCGCGTCGTCCTTCTTCCATGGCTGCTTTTCGGGTATTTATACTGGCAATGAGCTCCTCTTTGCGCTTAAGCGCAGCGCGCACACGTTTGCGCTCCGCGATAACGGCCTGCTTGGTTCGAGAAAGCTTCTCCTGCGCCTCAGCGGCATCGCTCACGGTCCTGAGTGAAGGTTCATTCTCTCGCAGGATTGCACTTATTTGCGTTTCTAGCTTCTCCCTAGTAGCCAATGCGTCCTGCACGCACTCGTCCAGATTAGCCAATCGCATCAAAGCATCGTAAGACGAGGTTGGCAATGTGGTGCCATCTGCAACAGCCTTCTGTGCTCCGCCTTGGGGTGGTGCTTCAACCGGTGGAAGGTCGGTCAAGTTGGTATACACTCCATCTGAGAAGTGAAAGAGAACCGAGTTCGCTGGAAGCGGCTGGTGGAAGCTCTCTAATGTCTTTCCTAGGAATTGCAAAGACCGTAGATGTACCTGCAGTTCAACCAGTAGAATAAATTCAGGAATATTCACGGTTTTGGTCCAAAGCTTTAGGGTCAATTCGTCCATCCGAGAGACAAAGGGGCCACATAGGTTCAAGTCGAAGGCCCGGAAGTTGGGATTGGTTGCACGGTCAACCACTTCACTGATGTAGACCGGCTCCTCAAGACCTTCGCAATGTAGAGAGAAGAAAGTGTCCGCCATGCGACTATGGTATATGTCTTCTAGTTTGACCTGCCGAGTTCGAGGATTGGGGTCGTTCCAAAACAAGGTACTTCGGCGTCGCGAACGCACCTCGGGCTGTTTCTTCGCAGATTCATCTTGACTGGCGCGTGACTTGAGGTCGGTAAAAGACCGCGAGGAGTGTAGGGGGGACTTCGAGTTCTGCGATAGGATCTTGGAAGGTGTTTTGAGGGTATTTGGGATATCGTCGTCATCAATCGTCTTGCCGCGAGCCCGAGTCGGGGGAGGAGTAATGACCAGGTTGCGGACCGAGATGCTTTGCAGGTGCCGAAGCTTTCGATTCTAATCGCCTGTCAGTATTCAGTCGCAGCTTCTGTTTCACAGGTCATACCCATGGGAAGAGCCACGGCCTCTCTCTGCGGACTGTCTCACGCCCCGTGTCCGTATCCATAACAGCGCGGGCCCCCAGGGGGTGCGGTGATCAAATACTGTATTGGAAATGCGCCAGAGTCATGATATGCAGAGAAAACAGAACGAACAAGCAAATTACAGAGACAATTCAAGGAGACTGGTGAGATAAGAGATGCGGAGAGCAAGTAGTCGGCGCCAAGACCTCTTCCCCGTCAAAAACTCGACCTCCCGTTCTCTTTCAACTTCCGCAATTCAACGACAGTGCCCAATGCAATAAGTCCTCGTCCCTTATTCAAAGGAATTGTTCGAGAGCGACTACACGCCTCACTTCCGGCCGCAATGGCCTCCAACCCACAGTCTTTCAAGAAGGTCTTAGACTCGACAGCACTTGCAGCCACGAGATTCATCCGCCGGCCACCCATTGATCCCACGACTCCAATTCAAGGAAGACCCCGGGAAACTAGCTCCAATGCATACAAGAATTACCAGGATAAGGAGGGAAGGCGGTTACAGAAGGCCTTGAACTCGCTCACCCACGGCAAGAACATCTTTGTGTACCAGAATGTCCGCACGAAACAGGTCGTGTACTCTCTGACCCGCTATCTCGAGGTAAGTCGATTTCCCTTTATTAGCGATGGCATGGAACCTTGCTCCGACCAGCAAGATAGCGCTTCCATCCATCATCCAACATTTCACATGTGTCGCAATTTTCTAACCGTCAGGTCCCATTAGAAAAACAATCTCCTCAAGCAAATGGTCAACCATGGCAAGAAGACTATTCCCGCGACACTCCGCAAAGATCTGTGGGCTCCGTACTATTCCGTGCATTTCGTTGAGCCGGAAGTCGGTCTGGACGTCTACAACCACCTCCGCCAATTCGCACTGCTCCGCCAGCTGTCACCACCGGAAGAAATGATCACCGTGACAAAAGAATTCCTCGATTCGCGGCGACCGACGGATATCCGGGATCAGAAGGAATGGGACAAGCAGAACATGGGGAGGGTAGGCCAGATCATGAAGAAGAAAGAGCGCGCCCAAGCCTTGATGGACCAGAAGGCGACCTCAATTGCCGATGTTGCGTTTTTGCTGAGCAAGCACGCTGGTAGGATCCTAAACGGCACACCTGAGCGCGTGCTGGCCGCATACAGGACTCAGAACCGTCGTCGCCGCCAAAAGATTGCTCGGGAGAAGCTAGCAGGGGCTGCTGAGGAACGCGCGGCCGAGGTTGCGTCGTTGGAGGAGCAGTTGGATGTTGAGATCGCTGGAGACATGAACACACCTAAGGATGGCCATGTCAAGATCTTGTGGCAGGATGTTTACACTCCGCAGTACGCCAAGCACTGGCCGGGCTTTGTCCAGCACGGTCAATTGCGTTGGACTCGCAATCATGTGATTGCTCAGGAGGAGGTTCCTGAGTCCGACGAAGTCATTGCCGATGGTTCCTTTGAAGAGGCTAAGGACAAGAACTAGAACTAGAGGCTTGGTGCTGTTCCGGTCCCTCTACTCCCAACCCGTTACCTCTCTTCGTTTGAGAGCACGGCAAGAGACATTCATGTGTTGATATCTACTTCCAACCCGCTCGGGACTTCGGCGAGGATGGTGCTATTTGTATTTTCTTTTTGTCTTCTGTCTAGCTTGTCCTAGCACTCCTCGCACTCCTCGCTGCATAAATTGTACTTTTAGATATATCAAATCATGTTGTTTACAAGCATACAAAAGGCTCTTTGCTCACGCATGCTGTAAATAGTGTCACCTCTACATCAAGGATATCCAGGCTGCATGTTGGCCTTGAACCCAGTTGCCTACTCTACAGTCTTGAAGTGTCGTAAGCATATAGATCAGTCAAATAAACATTTAGGTTTTAAACAGGTACGTATTCGAAACAAAAGAAGCACAGCCTAGTCCAATACAATCCAAGTCCAGACAAGATCAAAATAACGAATAAAATCTCGTGCTACCAGAAGACAACCAGACAACCAGGTCTAGTATCCTATTGAACAGAAAGTTGAAAGAAGACAGCGGACAATCGCAATTCATAATTTGACGCCAATGTGCAATGTAAGAAGAGACATTCAGAGAAACTCCAGAGCGAAAAAAATCGGGCTCCGGTACATTGCGCCCCGAAGCACAAGCAAAGGGTAAACGTAAATGTGACACGAAAGACAGAGATAGATACAATCTAATCAATCCGCATTCACAGCTTCAGCTCCAGCTTCAGAAATGACTTTCCGGTTTCGGCTTTCGTGACATGTCATACATTCACTGAGTCTGGCCAGATGAGCCCTTGTTGGGACTCAGAATGTCCACAGAGGGAAGGTCTTTATTCTCGTTAACCTGCAACTCAGGCCCGGGCTCTTCTTCGGCGTTGCGGTTCGCCATCTTCTGGAGAGTCTCTTCAGCGGCCTTCTCTGCTGATGCTGGGTCGTCTGCCACGCCCGAGGTGGCGATGTTCTTCCTTGCACCCTCGACGATCGCGTCGGCTTCGCTAACGCATTGCGATACTGTCGTATCCCCGTCTACTCCGATCTGGTCTGCGTTGTTGTTGACGACATCCTTGACACGGTTGGAATCTAGTCGGATTACCATGCAAGATAAATTGTCTGTGCTGAACCGTGCGAGTGCATGGTCAACAAGGATCTTGGAGGCGTGTTGGGCGTCTTGGACGTTCCGGATTAGATCCACGGCTTCTTGGTCACTGCAGACATCCCACAACTATAGAATATATTAGCTTCCTTGTATCATCAAGATTAGATAGATTAAAACTTACACCATCGCAAGCCAAAATAATAAACTCATCGGCATCATGCTGGATAACTGTTTCTGTTGTGTAGGGATGCCCAGTAACAAGGTCCTTCAGGTATGCATCACCCAAGGCGCGGGTAACAGCCAAAACTCCGTTGACGCGGTTGTTCAGGATTAGCCCGCCAGCGTTGGCAATCCTCTTGCCTTCGTTCTCGTCACTACCCTTGTGATCGTATGACAACCTGAGTGCTTTCCCGTTGCGACATAATACAATGCGGGCATCGCCAACGTTGGCTGTGTACAAAACTCGCTGTCGAACAGCCTTATCCTGCAACTTTGGTAGAACAGTAGCCGGTGTATCTTGAGTAGGGGTCTCCGCATTCTCTGACCTCGTGTCACCCTTTGATGCAGCTGCAGCGGCCGGAGCGAGGGCAGCGGATCCGGTAGCTGATTGTGAGCTTGGGACACGATCTTCCCAGCGAAGCACTGCAGTGACGGCTGTACACCCAGAGTTCTTGACGGGTAGTTTCTCGAGTTGCTGGTCCACGCTGGTGAAAGTTTGATCGAGCAATTCCGGAACAGGCGTATTGGGGCTTCTGCGCATGACTTCTTCGAGAATCAAATGCAATTTCTTGCCACACCACTCTGCAGCAAAAGTTCCAGCATGTCCATCGAAGATTGCAAAGTATCCATTGTCTGTTTCGAGGGCACGCGGTGTATCCTCCGACGCCTGCGACTCATTCGCCCCGGGGCCCTCGTTCCCATTTATGTCCGGAGCAGTCGGAGCGGGGGTGCCCAGGAAATTGTAGAGATAGGCATGTGTGTCTTCCATAGTCCGGCGACATTTTCGATTCCGGTCTTCTGTGACACCAACGCGGAAGGATGACCGAGCGGTTGGTACGGATTCTCCGGCAGAGTTATTGAATGACCCTTGAGGGACACTGAGTGCTGGGTCCATCTTGCCGAGCTTCTGTAGCGGGCTTTCGGCGATAGAGGGACTGGTACTAAGCGAATTATCCCGGCCGTTCAAACTAAGGGAGTTTTTCGCGTTGCTGAAGAAGCTGGCCGCTTTAGTAACGGTACTACTTCTGCGCTTCTTCTCGGCTGCGGGACCCTGATCGTCGCTTTGTCGGCGAGTGAAGAACCCAGCACCAGGGGGAGAGAATCTCCTGTCGCGCGGGCTGGAGCTGAGCGCGCTGGTGTCGGTTTGGAGGGTCAAGGAGTTGTCGATACCGGTCTCCGGAAGTGAATCAACCTTATCTTTGGGTGGGCTCGAGGAGCCACTGAACATTCTGTTCAGCAACCCACCCTGCGAAGAAAAACTGCGGCGCTTATTACCTGCCAGCTTGATTGAATCCTTTCACAAAGGATGGAACACTCGGGGGTTGGGTACGGGCGGGGTGAAGATGGGGCGAGACTGACGTAGGGTCGGTCGAGGACGGAAGCGGAGGAATTAGGCTGCAAAGACTGAGAAAATCAGCAAAGAGCACTCGAAGATCAAACAGATGAGAGAAGAGAAGTAAAGATGGGGAGTGACGTGTGATCAATTGGGGGCGCATAGTCGATCACGAAACACGAGGGGAAGCGCGCTGCCTTCAGACAACCCCAACGCCCAATGTCAAGTGAATTATGAACTATCGCGAGCTTCAAATGATCAATCGATTCCTGTGCAATACCCTCCAATATCCAGTACCTGGCATACGGAGTAGGTAGATGCGCACCCTGGTTCATCTTGGCTCAACCCCACCAGGAAGAATCGGGATAGTAGAGACGTAGAGACACACTTACTGTGTAATATTGACAAGAAGAGGTCAAGATCAAGATCAAAGAGTTGTGAATGGTGAAGAAGGTAAGTAAGGAATGATGCGATCCGGATGAAAACCAGCTCCTAATTTCCAGAGCTCCGCCCTCTACGGCTCAAGCGGCAAGCGGAGTTAAGCCAAGACTGAGGGACTAGAGGAACTATTTATTTCAGGGGGGAATTTATTGCGACCTTACTCTTTTCCCCTGCAGTGTGCTTCTAAATATACGAGTACGGGGTATGGGGGATCTCCTTAATCAGATCCGCATCTGGTCGATGACGCTTGTACTTCTCCTTATTGCCTATTGTATGCTTTTTGTCTTGTGTCTTGGGTCCTAAAATACTGTCTAGGTATTTTCCTAGTAGGCAATGATACCACGATCACATATCTACACATCAATTGAGGCTAACTTACTACACTTGCATACGGTACATGTATAGATCTAGGGTGACTCAAGCTGGTTGAAAACGGTCTCACTAGTTAAAGTCACTAACCATGCTTAGTACATGGTCAAAGAGTTGGAACATATCTATGATCATGTACGACTTAATCGTTCTGCCTGCATATGCCTAGGTATATAGATCAAGTGTTCTACCGCGTGCATGTATTCGCCACTTTAACTCCGAGATGAAATCCGGTTTCCATTTTATATGTTTGTTTCATTTCAAAGACATTATCTCATGTTCCATTCGTTAAGCCTTTGATATGCGTCTAGAACAATGACGCTGAGAAATCGATCTGAAAAGTAAAAGGTACAAATGTACTGTACCTAAAAAGGCATAAGTCCGGTGTCTTGTGAGATATATAAACTGACACTTTGGTAACAGGCATCCATCTTTTACTCAGATCAAACCAATATCTAAGCATCCTTTGATAGCAATGGTCACCCGGGAAAACAAAGTTGACATTGTACATATACAAGACCCCAAATTCAGACCAAATACCCGTCAGATGAAATCGGAGTAATACATGCATCAAGTTACCATGAACTAAAATCACCAAAGCCCCCGACCCCTTAGCCTTCTTACGGGCAGGTTCAGGTACTGGCTCGTCCACAAATTCAACAATCTCATCCTCCTCTTGCCCATCCCGGTCCGCCAACGCCGCCTTCAAGTACTTCCCAACACCGCCAGAGCCACCATCACCCGATTCAGCACCAGCACCGCGAACTCGTTTGCCAGTCCAAGTAACACGGTCATCGTCCACACGACGCGAAGCCTCCTCTTCTTCCTCGGGTTGGGCGGCTCCCGAGCTCCGCGCTTCTTCTGCGCGTTTCTGGGTTAGGAACTCTTCGAATGGATCTACGAAGACTGTGATGTCCTTGATGCGGATGTCCGGGGTTGGTCGGTTTGTGGATGATTCCACGGGGTGGGTCTCGAGTGCGTTCAAGGTAGTAGATGAAGGGGTTGGGTCGTCGATTAGACGACCGAAAATGGTGTGTTTGAGGTTGAGGTGAGGAAGGGCACGATAAGCAATGAAGCTGGTATTGCAGGTTAGCGAGGATTTGGCCAGGGGTATTGAAGGGCACTTACAATTGACTGCTGTTTGTGTTCTTGCCTTTGTTGGCCATACTTAGTGTTCCTCGGGCATCGTGCTTGAGAGGACCCTCAAACTCATCGGCGAAGTATTTCCCCCATATACTCTCGCCACCTCGTCCGGTTCCAGTTGGATCACCACCCTGGAGCATGAAGCCCTTGATATTGCGGTGGAAGGGGACATCCTTATAGTAGCCCTTCTTAGCCAACTGAATGAAGTTCCAGACAGCTTTCGGTGCGTATTCAGGATACAGTTCCAGGTTCAAGTGTCCGGAGGTAGTCACAATCCGGGCATAAGCCTTGCCTTTCACCCGGCCCCGCTTCAGCATATATTCTTCCTCTGATAGCAGCGCAAGCTCGGCAGATGTGTGTGGTGTTAGACCAGTACTGGTAAAGGAAGCAGCAGCCTTTCCGGTAGTAAATTTGGCAGCATTGTAGGGCGTCGGCTTTCCACCTTGCACACCTCCGGCCTTGGTAATTGAACTTGCAGCTCCTGTCTTTGAAACAGCCTTAGAGCCAGCTGCAGCAGAGTCAGCCTGCTGAGCGCGTTCCGAGCGCGCCTTTGCAACCGCCTCTTTCGCTTTCAGGATCTTCGCTGAACTGCCAAGCGCATTGGTGTTGACACTGCCCGAGGCCTGTTGTTCCTCAATAAGTCCAGTCTCTCCATTCTTGATGTAATTGAACGAGCTGAGATTGCGAGACTCAATGTTCTGCGGATCCTGCAGCGTGATAATATCCTTGCGGCTGAACTCCTCATCCGTGACCAAGTCGCGCCACAATTTGCCCTTGATGTTCAATCGCTCCACGGTATCCCAAGCAAAGACATTTCCGGTATTCCGTAGCGCAACGATATGTGTGTTATCAGTCAAGATCTTGAAGGTAACCGGGTCAACGTAGTCGCCGTCCTCGTTCTTCGCAATGGTCAACTTAATCAAGTCAGACCCCTTCAACGGTGACCCATCAACAGGGTTCGTCCCATGCTTCTTAATCCATGGCAAAATATTTGTAAGGTCGAACAGCGTGCCCGTGGGTGTGCAGACCGGATGTGAAAACGGTTGGAGGGAGAGGGAGCAGAAATTGAATGGCAGGCGTTTAAATGCGGCGTGCGGGCCACCCTTTTTGGCCTTGGAGACGCCTGCGCCTGCGCTAGCTGAGAAGGCATCTTCTGATGCCCACTCTGAGTGTGTGATCTGGAGGGATATAATTGTCAGCGAGGATTCGACATGCGATTGCGCGCGCAGAGCTTTGGGGAGATTTAGGGGAGGCGTTGCGTACGTAGAGCTTATCCGTTCCTGTATGGATCGTTAGTTTCAAATTTGCAGAGCGAGGCGATCATAACCGCGAGGACATACCTTTTCCCATCGTTGGCGATTAAGCTTGTTTCGGCGCAATCTTTCGTAGGCTTCGGAGATTGTATGACGATGGGAGGACGCTTACCGCTTTGGGACTAGTGGGATTTGAGCCTAAGATATCGCTCATGTTGATGGACTTCAACAATGACAACAACAACAGGGCTTAAAAAGTTAGTTGGAGTGTCTGTAGCCCTCTGTCTTGCTTTGGATTAGAAACTCCGGTTGGGCACCCTCCTTACAACATATATGCCGTAGCTACCCAAGTATAATAGTACACAGATGGTATAATTGATGATAGGAGAGAGAGAGAGAGAGAGAAGAGAGGATGATGATACTCTATGGAGGAGCAGCAGACTAACTAGTCCAAGGGCCGGATACAAGCAGACAAAGGAGGCCTGATCCCCGAGGCGGCACGTTGCCTGCCAACACTCCGGCGCGACGGCTCTCTATACTCTGGTTATCTACTCGACGTACGTCAGTCCCTCAAATGCTTCCGATGTAAGGTTTGCAATTGGCACGTACTCAAGGTTATCTTCATGTTTGCAGATCGTTAAATATATGCAAGAATTTACTCGAACGTTGCTTGTCACTTACGTCTCACTCAGAGGGTGGTCCCAAGCCTCAGTTTACGATGACTACACTGTTTAGCGAAGATAAAGATGTAATTTCCACCATTTTGACGGAGTAATCATACAGAGAGACTAGTCCACTAGGTAATCATACATGTACAAGTGGTAGCCTCGCCTCCAGGAGGCCCGCACAGAACGCCAGGCCCGCACAGAACGCCTGAGAAAGGAGCCGTCAGCTCCTCCCACTTAAATGACCCAGCCCGAGAATTGAAAAACGCCTTTTATGACATGTGGATCATGATAGTTCATATGAGTGGAGGTTTGGTATTGTTTAGGGAAGCGGGGATTGGAACTTCAATGGAACCACCCACTTGTTCCCAAAATCGATTCCATGTCGACGGCGTGTGCCATACTTCCTCCAGACAATCTGTGGGATGCCGATGTCGGCAACTGAAACGTTCCAGGACAGTCTTTCGCCCGAAAGAAGAGCATTCAGGATACCAGTCTTGGGGGCGCCGAGGCATACCACTGAGGTGGCATTGACGCAAAGTCGGCCACCTTCGGCCAGGGTCATCTCGCCTGCGGGTTTAATCGTGTGAGTCGTGTTGTTGCGAGGTATGGGCTGCAAAGCACACTTACCAGTTGAGGCGTTGAGTCCGGACGGAACATCCACAGAAAGGACGTGGACGTTGCTTCGATTCATCCAGGAAATCATTTCGAAGGCCACCCCTTGGTCGTCGGTGCGGAGGTCGTCGAAGGACAGATGCATACCGAACAAGGCATCAATGACCAGGTCGGGGCCCAGGTCTGCGGTAGCCAGTCGAGCGGAGAGTTCTTCCCATTTGAGCACCCGTCCTCCAATCTTGCGGAAGATATCGAGCTGCTTGCGGCAATTTTCCAGTAATTCAGCCTCGTGCTCTAGGCCGAGCAAGCACATAGTCACACGATGGCCACGGTTGCGGAGGTGGCGAGCGGCGGCAATGGCCCGGGCTCCAGTGCGGTGGTTACCGGTGATGATCAGAATAGTGGGCGCAGCAGCATCGTTAGAAAGAAGGGACACAGCAGCCTCCGCAATACCCCGGCCTGCATTTTCAGTGATGATTTCATCGGCGATGCCGAATTCGGCCACAGAAATTTGTTCGATTTCTAGAGTCTGCAAAGGACTCACAGTCGGGCAGCTGCGGTTTGTGGTTGTCAGTCTGAGCGAACCAACGCCTGAAACATTAGGAGCAATCATGGGCGATGCTGAGGACCGGCTTGGACGAGGGCTCGTGGTGCGAGAAATATTAACATGGAGTTGGCTGCGGCCAAGGGCACTAAGCTGTGGCACCATTGGCTGGGCCAGAACCGCGCTGTCCTTGCGAGAAGGATGAATGTGCGAGGATCCTCTCGACCGCTCGCGTCCAGATAGATTATCATTGCTCAACTTAATTTCACTTATTCCTTCAATGTCATCATCCGAGTCACTATTCTGGGGACTATCAAGCACGTTCTCTGTCCAGTGTAGGTTTTTTCCACCATTTGTACCTGGTTTGATTTTGCGGTTGAAGCTAACCAGACGTGCTTCGTCTGCAGTGGTGTCATCGTTCCGAATCTGTTCAAACACTGTCCGCTTATCGAATTTGGAGAGGTTGCTTTGGAAGTCAAATTCGCCAAGCTCCTGGATGTCAGTCGCATCCTCAGTAGCCCAGTCACTAGGATCCTCAGCATAGCGGCGAGACCTCTTCTTGCGGAGTTTCGCTCCAGGCCGGGTAACCATCTCAGGAGAATCCTGGAATGCAGGGCCTGCTGGCTCCACAAATGCAGTCTGACGCCATCCCTTGCTTTTCGGGTTGGTACTTGCTGCGGCGCCATGTTTGCTGACATAAACTCGATCTTCCCGTTCGTTTCCTTGGTTGGCACGGCGATTGCGCTTTGGGGTCTGCTTTAAAGGTGACAATTCTTGGGGACTTTGAAGCAGTTGCTTCTGGACAGCTTTTGGGAGTCCAGCCTTGCCACCCTCCGTGCTCAATTCCAGGCTACTAAATGGTTCAGTCAAGGAAGCCGAGACCACGTCAGGAACTCTTTGGTGCCCCAGGTTAGGCGGGTGATTTGCGGCGTTTTGGCTGGCATTCATACGAGGGGCCTTGGAGAAACTCAGAATGGCCGGGTCCATGAATTGTTGCTGGGCAATGGATGCTTGGGTAGGAGTTATTGGAATTGCTGCATGATGCTGAACTTGAGGGGGAGGCACATGGTGGTGCTGCGAAGGGGCCGAAGTATTCGCTTCCAGATTGAGGTCGATGATGGCAGAGGCGTCAATGGTGTAGTGGGGCAGGCATTGACCATTCCAGAGCGTGACTATATGTATGTTAGTTATCTAATTTAGCAGTGACATATAGTCTTGACCTCACCATTTTGAAGTAGCAGCTGCTGTCCGATCACGTTGGCAACCTGGCCAAGCAGCTTTCCGCCCGGGGGATCTCGCAAGGTCAGAGACACATTGTAGCCAATAAACTCGGAAGCCATGATAGTACTGAGCTTCAATTCTCCGGTGTAATCATCAATCGAGTAGAGGTGAGAAGTATGACAGGCTTAGGACAATCAGGTCGAGATGGGATGAGAAGCTGTCGGGCAGCTCAATCGGTAAATCACGTGCGATTGCTTATCGATTCTTATCTGTTTATCGATAAGGGGTGGGGTGAAGTTAGGGCTATGAGCCTATACGGGTGAATGGCCGAGAATACTCAAATTGACTATTGCTCAGTACTTACGGCTTAATGCTTATTCATATGCTTACAAAGGGGCCAGGGCCGTTGGGGTAAGCGCCTCGTATGAGCATCTATGAACACACATGTACATGTACTTTGTGGGGGATGTTTGCTGTGATTACAGGTTGACAAGAAATCTTCCAGATAGCATTGGATATCAATAGTCTCTTATCATGGCATGGATATTCTATACAAAATGTCCTCCAGAAGAAAATACGCCGTCCATGGACACCTAGTTCAACCTTATATATGATCAAAACTCGTCATCGTCGAAGTCTTCAGGGTTTAAGGCACTTGCTGGCTTGGCTTTAGATTTGATGACTTGTGTGATCGAGACCAAGTTGTTGTAGAACTCCACTACTCTGGGATGTACCATGACTTTGCGGGGTTCGAAACGAGTAACCTGTAGTCCTTCTTGTGATGTTGCTCGACTGAGAGCAACATACGCCTGACCCTTTTCAAAGACTCGGCCAAGGTCGACCTTCACACGCTGAAGGGTCTGACCCTGGGCCTTGTGAATAGACAAAGCCCACGCCAAGATGAGTGGGACTTGTTGGCGTTGAGCTTGCACCTCTCCATTGGGAAGTTCAATCTTCCAGGTCTCTGGTTGACATAGCAAATGGCGCTCTGATCCATCGGGTTGCATGAAGCATACCAGTGGCCATTTTCGAGTCGCAGAAGCAGGGCCTTCTTTGTAACCCATGGGCTTCAGCTTCTTTTTGGCACGCATAGCCCGCTCTTCATCGCTTACAGACGCATCTTCGGCAAAATCCTTGTCATTTTCCCGGTATGAGTCAAAATATTCTTCACTCATGAAGGCCACCACACGTCCAATGGAGCCGTTCACAAGGGATTCCTCCATGTTCTTGATAAGCATCACTTGAGCACCCTTCTTCAATTGGATGAGAGGAGGGGCCATGCAGTTCGACAGTAGCTTCTCACGGTGCTGAGGATCCTGGATGGTTCCGGAATCCACTGCATTGAACATCATCATCTCGCCAGAAAGTCTGCCCATCCGTGCGGAGTTGGCCCCTTCCACTTCAGCGCGAGTCGGGAACCTATCGATTGTCAGTTTTGTAATTCAAACATCAACATGAAGAACATACAGTTCTGTTGCTTCCAGCGAGTCATGGAAGTCTAGCGGCCGAGAAAGCTTTCGGAAAGCATCGATCGTGCGAGGGCTGATCTTTCCCAATCTCATCTCGTTTAGCATCTCAGCAAACTCCGGGTCCTTCTGACGGAAAACGTTGGTCAAGAGAATGGTATGCTGGATACACGTGGTCCAAGTAGCAGCTGCAAAGGCAAACTTGGCCTCGCGGTTACTTCCTTCAGGTACCGGTGGCAGTTGGAAGAAATCACCTGTAACGACAAGCTGAATTCCTCCAAATGGTCGACCATTATTGCGAATGCGCCTGGCGATCTCTTCCAGTTTGTCAAAAAGATCTCCATCGACCATGGACACTTCATCAACAACAAGAACTTTAGTACGCAGCCAGCGATTCCTAGCTTTCTGGTTCTTCTTGACCTGCGGGTTGTCAGCATCAATACTTTCTGTGCATGGCAAAAGAGCTCACTTTTTTGACTAGTTCAGGGACTGCCTCCTTGCCTAGACCAATACCTGCAAAACTATGGAGAGTTACACCTTCAATGTTACAGGCCGCAAGACCCGTTGAAGCCGTAACTGCAATGCGATCTGGCTCCTTGCGATATTTGATGCGCAGTTTCTGGATAATCTCCCGCATAAGGACCGACTTTCCAGTTCCTGCAGAACCGGTGAAGAATATGCTTTTTCCGCCGTCGACAACTGCATCAAGAACCGCTCTCTGTTCATCACTCAGGAAGATAGGCGCAACCTTCGTGCGGCCTTGCTTTGGGGGCTTGATCTCGGGCTTTTGGTTCTTCTTGTATTCCTTGCGCAGCTCTTTCTGCTCCTCCTTGATGGCGCTCGCGGACTTGTTCCAGAAATCGGTGGGCTTTGAGCGCTTTGGGGTGATATGGCTATTTTTCGGGGCGGGGGTTTCTTCCTTCTCTTCCTGCAACCATGGAAGAGTTCGAGGTTTGGGCGGGGGTTGGAAGTGGGAAGGAGGTGATGATGACCACGGGTATTGCAAGCTGCTTGGGGGTGCCGAATCATCTTGGGAGACAGGTGGGAGATCTGGGTAGTTGATATCCGATGGGTTGGCGGCCTTGCTATCAAGACTTGGATATGTGACTGGCTTCGAGGTGCTGTTGAAGCTAGCACCACTTGGTGTGGTCAACGGCTGCGGCTCATCAATGTCAAGGTCAAGATCATCATCAAAGTCATTTTCATCGAAGTAAACCGCGCTATGGAGAGATCCTAGCGCGGAGTTTCCATTATGGGCCACGTCGATTTTTCGTTTGACTCCGACAGACTGTGGTGGGGCTGTTTTCGCAGGAGCATGTGTGTTGTTCCGCAGCAGGCTGGTTTGAAGCGGCTTCGAGGTCCCCCCAGTGGGAGCATCTTTGACAGCCTTTTTGAACATTGTCACTTCCTCTGGAGCGGCTCGAGGCGCGGATGAATACGGAGATGTGAGTCTCTTTGGGCGCATCAAAGAGAATGTTTGTATCCTGTATGTGCCCCACGCCCTGGATATCGCAACATGCATATAATTGAAAGCGAGAAGCAAACAGCGATGAGGGTCGCGGTAGATTCGGGGATGATTTTCTGCCAACGCGTGAGGACGCGACTATCGCACGTGACTGATAAGGATAGCTCTACTGAAACTGTGGGTATTGACAAGCAACATTGGGTGTTTGGACTATATTTGCTCTATTATAAATTAGATAGATAATTTAAAGCATTGTTGCTATTTCATTCTATATATCTGGCATTCTTTGGAGGTGCTATCCCTATTCGCAACTCGAAATGATAATACTGATCTAACGTTACTGATGAGCCAAAATGTAGCAGAGTGTGAGGACCCTGCGAAGTCCTAAGGTAGCAATGAGTACGGGAAATAGAGTCTATCCAGAGAAGTACAAGATTCTCTGATGCGAGTATATTTCTAGCAGCGAAGATTGAGTTCAATTAAGGATAATGCTGGGATCGAACTGGAGCTAGCTAAAAATAAAAAAACGTCTAACTCTGCACAAGGATTTAAGTGTCAACATCTAGAGCATCCTCGAGCTCGCTCAAAAACTCCTCCATTGGTGCCAACTGAAGGGAACTGATTCTAGGCGCCGCAGAAGCCGCTGATTGCCGTTTGGAGGCAGGCGCTTGGTTTGAAGATAGACTAAGTCGAAAGGGGGAGTTGCATGCCTGTTGTGCATGTAGGACGATGGATCCGAACATGCTGGCAATTGCTTGCCAGCCTTCTCTCTCGGTCTGTAATCCCAGAACTGACCACTCTCCCTCCATATTTAGTTGGTAAAAATGGAAGACCCAGCCGTCTGTCAGGGCCCCCCAAACCGTCCAATTTGTCTGCCCCCTTGATCTTCTGTTGGCTTGTACCATCGCCATATAGGCGAGGATTTGGCCCTGATCTGGGAAACAGCCGCGTCTCTTGGCTTCGATAATAACCAAATGACAGGCCATATGGTCCTTCTCTCCAAAAAGGAGACTGTAATCTGCCGTCCCAATGCACGTATGTGGGACATTTTGGTGGAGGACAGGTCCCCACGCCAAAGGACTCTCTAGAGCCAAAGTCACTCGAGTGCCAGCAGGGTTTTGGAGCAGTCCTTGATCTGATAGGCTGCGGTATGCTGCCACTATCAAAGCGTCTACTCGACATCGGGACTTTGCTTCAGTAAAGACAGAAAGCTCGGTCAACTCGTCATATTTCTGCAGCCAGAGATCTAATCATAATTAGAACACTCCCATAACGCCCAGGGGAGTGATAGCAATTACTAAATTCAGCCGGAAGAGGAACATGTATCGAAGAAAACTGCCAACTCTGATAGCCATGGGCCGGCTTTATATTGAAAGCCCTCTCTGTTTGAGGTAAGGTCATATCGGAGGGGTTCAAATGCGGGAGACCAGGGGAGAAAGGCTGCTCGATATGCGCAACAACAGGGGCGGGGATTTCGGATTCGGAATGATGGACCATGTGGACTAATCGCTCATACCATGCTCGGAAGCCTTGGGGAATCCTCGGGGGCTTTTTAGTGCCTGCCATTTTGTTTGGCTTCGTGGCTTGTATCTGGTGGCTGTGTTTCAAGATGGTGGAGATATAATTCAAAGCTCAGAAGACAGTCGAGAAAATTTCCTTGACTCATACTTTAACCTTACAGTCCGTCATAACCCCGTCATATTAGCTGCTTTTGGCGCTGGACGAGGAACACTCGACGTATACATGACATAGGTAACATTGGTGATGACCTCAATATTACCCGATTCAGTTCGCTTCAGAACCGATGGACCCAAAGCCTACTGTCGTAAAGTTAGTGCCGGAGTGGTGGCTCCATTTCGTTACCGGAATGATCAAATGAGACGACTTCAATGCGGTTGATAACAATAACTATTTGTTTATCTTTTTTTGCAATTTTCATGATAAGCTGCCCGTCTCGAAAGTGACCTTTCCTTCTCAATGACCGTTCACTCTCAACTTGCTCTTACCCCTTTCTCCCCATCTTCAGCGTGCTGGGTCCCCTCTGTCCCCCTGGCCCATGGAGAGGAATTCCCGTGCCGCCTTTCGCTTTCGACCCTTTAACTTCTGCTCCTCACCTCGGCTGGCTGCCCGCACCGAGGTCGGGATGCCTAGGTACTTAATGTGGATGGAAGAACCCAGGTGTAGGGTTTTGATGCCACGACTGTGGTTGTAGAGCAAAAGCAGACCAAAGCGAAGGTATTCCGACTCCTCTAGATCCTCAGTGGACCATTTCTTTCCCTCTGGCAGTTGTAGCAATGCCATCAAGTGTCTCGTGTTATCATCTGGCTGATGGCGATCTGCGAAGTCTTTCCACGACTCCCGCGTGTTAAATTTAACCATAAGCACCTTCTTTAAGGATTGGCTTAGGTCGATAGTGTCGAATAAGTCCTCCTCGGATTCGGAGGCTTCAGTTAGGTTGGAGGAATCGGATTTCTCGTCATTAGATTCTTGTTCGGACTCGGCACCGGGAACGTAATCTTGATCGGCTGACTCGCGATCCGATTCTGCGCTCTCCTTATAATGGTCCTTGGCTAAGGCCTTTCGCCGAGCCCACCTCGGAAGCTCAATCTCGGATCCACCGAGTCCCGCTGCTTCGTCCTTGAGCTTGTTCATTGCCACCTCTGCCCATTCCTCACGGTGTTGCTGCAGAAATTCGACAAGTCCCGCTTTTCGCTCTTCGTCCGCCTTGCGCTTCTGCTCTAGGAGTTGTTTCCCATACGGGCTGGCATGGCAGGCATCCAATTGGGGTTGGAGGTTATTAAGCAGCTTCACAAGAACCATCTGGATGGTTTGCTGATCGGAGTTGACAGCTAATTGGAGGCTCGCCTTTGCTGCCTGTTTGACGAAGCGATACTGGTCGTGCGAGTTGGGGACGAAGCATCGTATTGCGGTCACGGGGTAAACTGAAGTCACCTATAGAAAGAGGGTTGTTAACACACTTGTTCCTAAACCGAAGTTCTAAGGAAACTCACTCTGAGGCATCGCCCGATTGCTTGGGACTCTTGCCCCCAGCTTTTGCCCGGACTCGACAGCACAATGCGGTCACAAGCAACATGTAGATTCAACCCGACTGTGCCGACATCGTATGTCATGACAAGCACTCGTAGATCCGACTTAGGATCATTGAAGCTTTCAACTAGGGTATCTCGCTCCTGTGCGTTCAACGCGGAATGAAACGAACGCACGCCAATTAGCAGAGTCCGCAAGACCGTCTCGATGAACCAGGCATTGACCGGCTGAGACTCCACCACGATCAACTTCTGGTGATGGTTCCACCGGTTAGGGTTAACGGGATTCAAAACCTTGCGGACTAGAATCTCGTTGAGAGCAACGCGCAAACAGGGGGACCCGTGCACTAGATATTGCAAAAGTTGCGCTCCAGTCACCGCGGGATAAGGCAACTCTCCAGGTAGCCGGGTGATTCAATGTATGTAATCCCCAGTTGCACCCTTTGTGCGCAAATCTGCTAGGAAAGCAACGTATGTGTTGCGACTGATCGATTCCAGCTTCTCATTCATTCGGGCGAGGACGGATGAACAATTTGCGATAGGTAGTGTACGCAAGCTCTTGCCCCCGACCACTAGCTTAGTGGCGGTATCAGCATCGACACCAGTTGCCTGGACTAAATTGCTATATAAGTCTCCGTTAGTCCTAGGCTAGGCTCAGATATAGTTAGAACACTCACTCTGCGGCCTTGCTATGCTGTAGCTGATACTCCGCATTCTCCGGGGGTCCGCCGGGAAAAGGCCGTGCTCTGGTAGAGCCGCTTGAACAAGGTTTCCATAACCAGCGGGTTTTGCCCATTCGACATATCGAGCACCGAGGCCGTGTCACGCTGGATCGCCGTGAGATCAAGAACCATGCTGAAGTATGCTGCCACCTCAGCGTGGAGGTCGTCTTTCTTTCTCAGGATCTGCCTGAGACTAGAAGCATCCAGTAACATTAACCGATGTCGGGAAGTCGCAGGGAATTCGCCGAGTTTGGATACTAGGCTCCGGGCTTCCCAGACAGCGAGCTCCTTCTGCTTAGCCTTTTCGTCATCTGAGCCAGAAGTGAAATCCTCGAGGTCCTTGCGCCCTCTGGCACCGAGCAACTCGATCAGCCCCACCAAGTCCTATATAGGCAGTTAGCAGCGGTTCCAGAACCTCGGTTTGGGGCTGAGCCTCACCTTGGTAGAGTTGTACATTGGCGTTGCAGTCGCCAGCAAAATTGTTTGGTACTGTTGCTGGTACAGTACAGCCCAGATCCCGCTTCGTTGGTTTTTGACCTTGTGTGCCTCATCGGCCAGAAGTAGGCCAAATACCCTTTGGTGGGTTGTCTTCCATGTTGTCTTCACGCGAGGTCGCTTTTTCCACTTAGGGCTTCCGTCCTCGTGAAACCTGGGCTTCGCGAACGGTACTCCCGGAACTTGAACTTGCTCCGTGTATGCAGTGCGGCGGATGTGTGTGTCATATGATGTAAGGATCACCGCCGACTTGGCCATTGGATCCGATCCACTCATGATTGCGGCCAAGCTCACAGGCCAGCTTTTGGACTCCATCTCTTTGGATTTGATAGTGTCAAAATGAGATTCCCACTCAGACTCGCCACCATAGGACAGAATCGGGCGAAAGTATGGCCAGTATTTTTGGATCTCCGCTGCCCATTGTGAAACCAGTGCAGAGGGCACAACCAACAATGATGGCTTATTGAATTCGGTCAGAATGCTGTACAGTTGGACCGCAAGTAAGACCAGCTTTGTTTCACCGAAACCAGTCAAGTCTGCACAGATTGCCGCATGTAAAGTCAAGTGCTTTAGCTTTCCTGCTGCTGAGATAACCCGTTGGCCTTCCACACTTTGATGTGGGATCTTTGCCCACTTCAGCAGTGCAAGAAGGTCAATGCTTCCGATCAATTTCAGCAATAAGCCCACGGCGCCGTTGATTTGAAAGGCAAAGAATTCGCATTTTGTCGACGTTCCCAGAAGCTTCGATTGGTATCGACTCGTTGTAGGTACAGACTCGCAAAGCAAAAGGTCCAGACAGATGTCGACAAATGGACCCGATCGTGCAGGTGTTCCGCCAAATGCATTTTGTATGACAATGTGTTCCCGGGTAGCCTATGTTGCAAGTTAGTGAGATTTTGATTGAGTATCATTTGGTAGTAATGGGGTGATATTACCGATGAAACGCCCAAGTTGCCTTCGGCACTGTGATGCGCAGCTTGGTGAGCTTGGTGGAGCACACCCTCGGCCTCTGGTCCGATGAATTGATCGGCGGGCACGGCATCATTTCGATTCGTGGGTCTGATAAGGGAAAGCAGCGTTCGGATAGTCTCACTTTGCCATTTCCTTCGGCCGGTTTCCGTCTCCACATTATGGCTATTATAGTATTTCATCTGATCAACCTTGGTTTCAAAGAACTTAAGTGTAACCTCCACCTTTGTCGCCTTGCGAGTGTTGTTTATCAACTACAGAGCGGCCTTAAGCCCCACCGTGCTTTCCGTGGGCTACTCTCTAGAAGCATCTTCTATGCCATCATTTTCTTCGAATATCGTTTTAGCAGAATCGTCCGCTAGATTGGCATTAGAACCGTTAACTATTAGCGTAGTTAGCAGAGTTCTAGGCAGCGGGTCATCGTATTCTAGGATAGAATCCTCCGTTTCGTGCTCGCTTCGCGCAAAAAGATTCACGTTAACCACAAAGTTAGTATTGTCAGCGTCGTAGAAGGTCCTGCTAATATCGGTCTACGGAGTACTCTAGGGATCTATATAGAATATACGCTTAGTTCCTACTAGCGTATACGCGATAACTATATCCCGAAGATCTAGATTTAGCTCTTAACAATTAAGTAAGGTACGAAGTAGATCCCGAAACATTTCCCTAGAGGTATATACCCTAGGATTATAGGGCATAAGACGGGAAAACGGTGGGATCTAGATCTTCTAGGAACACGCTTTAGCTAGGGTATTTTTGAGTTCTTATAGCCCGTCGAAAGGTACTAAGTCGGACTAGTTAAGTCTAACTTAAATCTAATAAGGGAAGTCTTCGGGGTTTGTAGATAGCTTTACTAGGTCCTCGGCACTCTCCTAGGAATCAACCTTTATCCACTTAGGTAAATTGCTTCCGGTCACGACTAGTGCACTACGTATTTTGACCACGGTTCCGAAACGCGACTTCTATATTGTAAAGAAGTAGGGTTCTAGTGTTTACAGGATAGAGCCTGTCAACTAGGTAAGATGAAGATGCCTGGAAGCGAACAATATATTGGAGGAATACAGAGACTGATTCTTGGAGAACCGCTGGGTTCTCCGGGGCAGACTATTTAACATGGGGGATCAGCGTTACGGTGAGCCAACGCTGACGTGTCGACACCTATATGGTGTCGATCCTCTGGGAGTGCGAGAGATCTGTGCATGGCTTCTGAGGATTCCGTTACAATTATCCCCCCGTCCAGTACGGGTGTCCACACCCGTGGTGAAGCCTGTAGAACGTAGCCCATTAAAAACCCAGTGGGAAAAGGTAGCTAGTTCTGGCAGGGACCATGGTGATTGCGTATAGGCAGTGAGGCGATGGGAAAACGATGGCGTAGTATAGGATGGTTGCAGGCAAGAAGATTGGGGCCTGAGGCAGAAATGGGATAGGGCTGGAAAGCCTCAAGAATTCCCAATTAGGATGTCGGAGGTCTGTTTGTATGCGTGGTGTACTTGTTGTGATAAACAAAGTGATCACAGTCAAATTGCGTGTTTGTTCTTGCGTTTGTTTATTCAGGTTGCAGGGTTTTTTCTTTGTTGTGATTCTACACCCATGGGTATAAATCCCCTGTTGGTTACCTTCCCACTTCTCTTTCCTCACCATTTTCCACAACAGCGACACGTCCTCACGTCGCTGTCGTTTCTCTGGAGTTTCTCCAGATTCTCGCTGTCACCTCTCCAGGTAGGTATGGCTAGTCATTCCTATCACCAAGTCTGACGACACGTCGCTGACCCACTGTTGTTTCGTCGTTGTTGCAGTAGCGTTCCATCGTCCACGCGCTGATCATTATGCCTCCCCGCGCAAAGGGTCGAGGCCGTGGCAAGGGTCGGGCTCAGGCTTCCCCTGCACCGTCTCCTCCCCGTCGTTCGCCAACCCCGTCTGAAACCGAGAGTGTGATATCCATTTCCGACGACGATGATGAGGATGAGCCTTCCTTTTCGCCAGCAGGACGCTCGGATATCGCTGGTACTGAGACACCTACTCCCAGTAGTCCCACTTCTCGTGGAATTACGACCATCTCCGGTCTCCGCCGTGCCCTTACGGGTGGAACCCAGAGGAAGAACCGTCCCCTTCGCCCTGTTGCCTATCTTCGGCATATGGCATGGTGCATGCACTGTTTCCGGACCTTCTTGGATAACTGGGATACCAGTGGGCCACCAGTGATCCCCTGTTGGGACGATGGCTTGTCGTCAAAGAGATGCCGTCAGTGCGCCAGCCGCAACAAGAATTGCGAGCCCGTGAGTGATTCCTTCTAGACAGAGCGTTATGGTGGCGGCTAACCGGCGTTTCCCTGTAGGTGAATGAGGGTATCCTTGGTGATGCGATACGTTTGCAGTGCATCCTTGACTGGGTCAAGCCCTTCTGGGACAAGGATGAAGAAAAGGAGATCTTCCATTTGGAAGATGCTGCTTTTGGCGAACTAGTACAGGCTGTCCAGGCTTTGCTTGCCGGTTTCAATGTCCTTTTGGATGGTCACCGTAAACAGTTTGGTATTGCTTCGGACAAGAAGCCAGCGAAGGTATAGTGTTCTGTTGTCGTTTCCTTGGCGTTTCACTGACTGTTTGATAGGATGTCGCCAAGGCTTATGAAGCGGTTGTCCATAACCGTCGTGGATTGCTTCATCCCATTCCTATCACTCCTGGCATGTCGTCGCTTCGCCGTCTAGTCGCTGAAGCTTCCACTTATCCTGGTGCCCGTCTTTCTGATGATGGTTACCATGCTTGGGCTTTTGCTGTGCAGACTTTCCGTTCCCGTGTTTATGACATTGTTGTTGACCAGGAACAGTATGACAATCTCACTAACCCCGATATGGAGCAGCTTGAGGCAGATGCGGCCAAGGATTTCCCCGTTGAGGACTATCTCGTCTAGTCGTCGGGTTGCCGGTGTTTCGTTGGTTTACAGAAGGTTTTTGTGCCGTTGATATTTCAAAGATAATTTTGCGTTTCTCAGTTTTTGTGAAGATGGCGGGTTGCTAGGGTGAGCTAGTCATTTCGCTGTATTTTCGCTAGTGTTTTGTGGTCGGATCGATGTTTTTCCAGGGTAATCTCAATCAATTCGACCTTTTCTTTTGCTTCTGGAATTTTGCGATGATACCTCTAGCATTTCCCATATCTGAGAGTGGCACCCATTGGTTGTACTCGGAAGGCCATCCTTTCCATTTAACCAAGTAGTGTAGCTCATTCTGGAACTTCTTTTCGCCTCGGACCTCTTCAACCTCCCACTCGTCATCGTCTTCTAGCTCTGGCATAGGTAGAGTTTCACTGTCGTTTCGCTCATGCCATTCTTGGAGTAGGGAGATTGGAAACACGTTGTGAAGGCGGGAATATTGTTCTGGTAGGGCTAGCCGGTACGCTTGTTTCCCAACTTTGTCGAGAATTCGGAATGGTCCAATAAAATTAGGAGCAAGCTTTCTTGATGGGCTTTTCAATCGAAGGTTACGGGTTGATAAGGCGACTAATTGTCCCCTTCGGAACTGTATCGGTTCGTGGCGTTTATTATAGTGTTTCGCCTGTGATTCGCTTGCTTTTCGCCATGCTTTTTGGAGTTTCGCGCGTAGTTCTTGCAACTTTTCTAGTCGTGCAATAGTTGCTGGGACCTCCTCCCTAGAAGTGCCGTCCTCGGCACGTAGTTGAAAGTTTGGATCATAGCCGTATAGTGCCTTAAAGGGTGTGAAACCCGTTGTTGAGTTTATGGCATTATTGGTGGCAAATTGGGCTGTCGGGAGAAGGTTTGGCCAATTGATTTGTTCCGTATTGAGGAAGCATCGAAGGTAGCTCTCGAGTACTTGGTTCATCCGTTCCGTTTGGCCGTCGGTTTGCGGGTGAAACGCTGTCGAAAACCTCAATTTGACATGGCTTTGATAGCAGAGTTTAGACCAGAATTTGCTAGTGAAGACTGATCCTCGATCTGAAACTACACTATTCGGCGGTCCGAATCGGAGTTCAATTTCTCGGTGAAATAGTTCAGCCAATTGTACAGCATCAATTGTAGATAAAACGGGTAGGAAGACGGCGTATTTTGAGAATCTATCCACGATGACTAGGATAGCGTCGACGGTGTTGTCCCTATAAATGGTCTGCGGCAAATGGGTGATGAAATCCATTGCTAGATCGCTGAAGGGTCGCTGGGGTATCGGTAGCGACTGTAACTCGCCATAAGGTCGATGCCTTGGCGTGGCTGCTCCTTGGCATACTGCGCATTCTTTGACGTATTGGGCCACATCCTTTTGCAAGTTAACCCAATGGAATTTGCGTTTTAATAATTCGGTGGTGCGAGTGCGACCAAAATGTCCTGCGAGGGGATCGTCATGATAGATTTTTAGCAGGTTTTGTCGCAAGCCATTAATTGCGGGGATATACAACCGATTTTGGTATTTAAGGAGACCTTCATGGTCGACTAGCCATCCATGGCTCCCGCGCTTCTCTAGCTTAACGTCGGTGATACGACGGCGGGTCTCTGGGTCTTCGCCCTGTATTTGCCCGATCTGGGACTTTAAATCAGTCGTGGAGTTCAATTCCTGAACTGACCAACCCGTGGTCCCACGCTGCACTTGTGAGACTCCGACGATTCGACGCCTTGCCTCAGGGTCTTCGCCCTGGATCCGCCCGATCTGGGACTTTGCTTGTGAGACTCCGACGATTCTACGCCTTGCCTCAGGGTCTTCGCCCTGGATCCGCCCAATTAGGGACTTTGCTTGTGAGACTCCGACGATTCTACGCCTTGCCTCAGGGTCTTCGCCCTGGATCCGCCCAATTAGGGACTTCAATTCTGTCGTAGCGTCTAAAGTATAAACTTGTTCAACCACACAGGCGCGCTCAACCTCCCGCTGGGTGATCGCACGATCTCCCTCAGCGGTGCGAACTGTCATGGCGTCTTCTTCTAAGACAAGGGGCAAAACCATGCAGCGGTGACTAACGACTTTTTCACGGGACGCACGACGGCGGTACGCTGGGTAGCGCAGAGGTACTCGACGGTACAGAGAAGCTCGATGGCGTTTCTCTCCCTTAATAGACGCTCGACGGCGTATCAGCACTCGGCGGTGCAGAGATGCTCGGCGGCTATCTCTCTTCTTGCTAAGCTCCGGCGTCCCGGGCTCGCTAAGCTCAGTCGCAGGCACATCCTGACTAGCCTCGGTTGCAGGCACACCCTGACCGGTATTTATTTCTTTGACAGCGGTTCGCTGTATACTCACCTCCTGATCGCTAGCGAAACGCTCTTGGATCGGGGTCGTAAGCTCAGCTGCGGGCGCGACCCGGCTAGCATTTGGTTTCCTTGATAAGCCATCCGCGGGATTGGTCTTCCCGGCGCGATGCTTTATAGTGAACTCGAACGGAGTTAAAAACATAAGCCACCTTGCCTGTCTACCGTTGAGCTTAGGCTGCTTCATAAATGTCTGGAGATTAGCATGGTCTGAAAGCACCTCGACGGGGTACTTGCTACCCTCTAGGTAGTGTCTCCATTGTTTAAACGAGTAAACGATAGCGAAAAGCTCTTGATCTGGCGTCGCATAGCGGAGCTCCGCACCACTAAATTTCTTTGACCAGAATGCCACTGGGTGCCATGTCCCGCTTGTGTCTGGCTGCGATAGGATTCCAGCCATCCCGAGATTTGATGCATCGGGTTCGATACGGATATGTCTTTGTGGATCAAAATGGTGGAG